AAGAATTTAAACGAAAGCTTTCAAAACGAAAATTTTGTTTACGTCACCGTTCGGCTATATCCCGGGAACGTAAGGTAGATGACCTACCAATGTCACACAGACAATATAGATGTACGTATACATTGTCTAATTAGCGTACAGTATAGCTTAAGTGAAACAGATTTCATTTTTGTTAGCAGTGATTTACGCAATCGTCCAGTTAGTTCAGGTAACGGTCGGCGCAGAAAACGGTAAAAAAAAGTAGTGAGATAACCGTGTCCCGTGTCACCATATGAGTAAATGCGATCTCACAAAATCCTTCTGCATGCACACTGTATAAGGCTTTTTTAACCAATTCAACTGCTTTCCATAGAACTAGTTCACAGAACTTCGACAAAAGGACATTGCAAACAATATGCCTTTATACGGATACGAAATTATGCAGACGTTTTTTGCGTGTGAGCGATTTGCGCTACTACACAGATTGTGCATGCTTAACGTTTCACTTTTAGCGGATTGGTTGTAGATCGTTGTTTAGCTTTCATTAGTTTAATGTGTTTTCTCTTTCTAGTTTAATGTGATTACTCTTTCTGAGCTAAAAAACTGATACAATGAGACCTTTATACAATTTAATAGCGAGATTTGAAATGGTTGAGAATTCACTAGTTGCGGTAAATAGCTAGAAGAATAGCGAGACCAGTAATTGGTGCCTACTTGATGTTTTTCTACAAGAGTTATGTTGAAATGTGACGTTTTTGAAAAATAATCGGCTATCCAAAACAATTAGCGTCGTTCTTTAGCCAAAAAAAAGTTAGAAAAAACACCAAAAATGATGTTTACTTTTTTCTAACCTTCGATGCGTTTGGCCGGTATGCTCAGTTGATCCAACTAACAGTTCCGTGAGATCAGACACTGTAAATGCGCTGTTTTTTTATTATTAAATGATGTCCGATCTGTTACTGTAATTAGGAACTAACGCATACAACTTACTCTGGGTGTTTCCGCAGTTTACGATGCTTTTCACATGATATAAAAGTTGCATTGGGTTGGAAAGAAGGTTTTCGCCCCCAACGAAAACATTTATTTCTCGTTGGTCGTCTTCCTCCTCTATTAGCACGCTGTAACGATATTATGTTGTCAACTGTTCGAGGAGGAAAAATGCATTTTCGACACCTTCTGCACTCTGCATTTTTGTCAGTGTCAAAATGCTGCTGAAATAGTTCGCGACATTTACCTTGTGTACGGTAATGACACCGCGGCTAAAAAGGCGGCAGTTCGGAAAAATGGCCTGCTGAGTTTGGGAAGGGTAAGCGGAAACTAAAGAGTGCCCCCTCGGTCTTGAGTTTAATGACAACGATCTGAAATAATTCTAAAACTAGCTAGAAGTATAAGGTGCATCCATACGACGCACATTAACCAGTTAAGTCCCTTGACTTTACCCTGGGAGCTTGGGTATCTCGTGAACTCTCTGAATCCAACACAAGGACACGATTTGACGCTGCGTCTCAACCCCTTGTCTGGTATCTAACGCCACATGGCCACAATGACTTTTGCACAAAACTGCCATTGATAATAAGAAGTGATGTATATACGTTAACATAAACTACAACTCGGCATGGATGGCTTCAAATGAGAAACCTAGGCCTAACGTCTAACCAGATTTTGTTTCAAAAATTGTTATGCCATATGTTTGGTGGGACAGCTAGGGTTGACGGGAAAGTGCTTTCTGCGAACGAGTTCATCGGCACGTTTGCATCGAGAAAGGACTCAACAAACGGGGTCAGTTATGCCTCTCCATGACAACACAAGGCCACACACGGCAAACATTATCAAAAAAGCCCTTTTGGACTTCGAACGGAAGGATCTGTTGCATCCTCGTTTAACCGACAGGTTTTTACCTTTGCCATTCACTGGGTGATAATTTCATGGCCTTACCCGGCACGAATCAACAATAACTTGAATGATGTTGGAAAACTTCGAGACGAAACCCACTACCATTTGATAAAAAAAAAACTGGAAGGAAATCGTAAGTAGTGACAGAAGATGCCTAACATACCACCTATTGGCACAGGAATAAAAACGTGGCGTTTTCTATTCATTCTGTCTGACACAAGGTAAATAAGTGCGATTGTATCTAATGACTTAGGATGATAGCTGTACCTACTGAGCGTGCCAGTTTACTGGACGGTGCAATCTATGCCTCAAAGTTTAAATAAGCTTTAATTATGCCTATGCTTCCGTCGTTGCAGTGGAGGATCAGAGAAATTGGAAAATTCTACGCGGGTAGTCACATTACCAATTTTTTTAACAAACCTAATAGGGGTCAAATCATTCACAAACTTTGATTGCCCTGAATAATTAGACTCGTTCTCTCCGCAGTTATACTTATTTCTGCTGGTTCAGGAACTAGTCGTCCTAGAAAAACTTCAGTTTTCACGAACATTTTATATTTAATCTGACACTGAAAATGTCATAACGGAATCAATAGAAAATTACAGGCATTCTTCGATTGTGAGAGGCACTTTAAACATTGCTTTGTCGAAAGTCATACAGACCATTAGAGGAAAAGTTGGGAGTGCTTATAATGTGTACAATACATACACCGCAACACGTCTGTTATTGAAAGTAATATTATATAATCGTATAGCTCTGGTGTACGTTTAAGTCGCGAAGTCAATCAAGCAGGAGGTTCCTACTGTGCAGTAGCAAGATTACGGACCTATTATAGATAGACTCCGTAATCGATGTCTACCCACAATGGCTTTTCTTTCACAATGGCTTTTTTTTTTACACAATCGGTAGTAGACTGGTAGCGTGCGTTACTTTATTAGCTGAAAACGTTTAGCTTTTTTAAGCGAGTTTCTAGCTGGGTATTCATAGCGTTGCTTTGTTGCAACTCGATCGTGGCGCCTCCCTGGTTGATAATGGAGCCGTCTAATTTCTTCTAGATACGTTATCACTAGAATAAAATTATGAAAAGTAAAACAGGTTTTTAACTGTTGAACGCCATTTGCACAGACAGATAGGAAAAACTACATTATGTAAAGTTGTATGATTTGTGGTCTTGTGGGTGGCTTTGGTAGTTCAGCTTTGATAACAAAGCATATGATTAAAATACTGAAGGATATTAAAGTTGGTGTTCGTTCTCAATTTCATCAGTCAAACTTACCGTATGGTTACTTTAATAATATACTATATTATACCAGTAGCATTCTACGGTAAGTTAGTGGCAAGGTATTTAATGCTTTCTTAGGTTTTAAGGTGGATAGCTGTGTAGAGCGTGACTCGGCCGAAATTCCTTTTTACCATATAGAAACAAGTCTATTCCAACAATGGTTAAGTTATTCAGGCTAAGCAATGGTAGAAATACAGATACAGGAAAAAGAGATACAGAGGAAAGTATTATAATAAACGTAACAAACTAGTTTGTGGCCGTTTGCTAGCATCGATTCATATTTGCATTAAGGATGGTTGCCATAAAATTTTGTTGTTGAACTATAGAAAGCTGAGAAATGAATGCATTTGGCCAGTCGGGCGCAAGGTACTTTATAAAGTATCGGGGCAGGTCGCGACAAGTAATAAGCACATGTTATCAGTATAATTCCAACCTTGTCAGTCCGTTTTTCCTTTAGAAGGCTGTAAGTTGGTCATGTTGAGTCCTTTTGTACCTCAGTTCTTTGTAAGATGATGCGTGTGCAATGCGGTTGAGTGCTTACGATAGGTTATTTTAGTTCCGATAGTATAAATTCCTATATCAATGTTAAAGGTTTTTTGATGAACTGACATTTTTAACACCAGTATAAATTGTGCGTACAGTAAAGCGTATCTTCTATTGCGCATTTGGCAGAGTCCTAAGGAGACCTACTACTACCCTAAGAAGCACTGGTTACTCTATTTTTAATTCTTATCTCTAAGACAAGCGCTTCAACTGAGTTCTTGGAAATATCATCACTCATATCAATCATTTCATGGTTTAATATCGGCACGATAGGCAACCGCACATTTGACGTATGGTTGTAAAGAGGTGCTTTCAAAAAAAATTTGCTCCATGGCAAAGTTCACTTTACCAGTAACATTTATATGTAGCCAAAGCTCGAAGAAAGTTTCTTTAACGGACCATAAAAGATTAAAAAGCGTTTGTAGTCGTAATTTTCTACGAACCAGAATACTTCTGATAGATAGGTAAATATACAGTCATATTTGAAAAATTGCGATGGTGTATTCTACTCTAACGAGCGTGTTTAGAAGTTTTTATATTATATGAGGTATAATTCTAATTGTGTAACGAGATAAATTATAGTTCAGTTAATACAAAGGCGACTTACGTTTCAATGTTTTATGTTTTTGCTCGGTATGTATCGTAAATGTTATGATTTAAATTTTCTTCTAGTTTCTCACAAGAGTACTCATATATGAGGTTCGTGTTTTGGATAACTACTGTCTGTAAACTTTCCTTGGTCGTAAAAATTTGGGAAACCTTCCTAACGTAAACGTAAGTTTTCCTTAATTGAAGTCAGAGTCGATCATTTGCTATTAACACAACGATCGATCAGCTATAGTAGTTACAAGCAAGGACAAGAAGCAAGGACTGCAAGTAAGCCCGCCAAAATATGTGGCTGGATCCCTTTTAATGGATGGCCAGTCGCTAATCGTGTAAACCTTGATAGACATGAAACTGCGTTGCTAAATGTTTAAAAGGGAACTCTATTATTTCTAGTTGTGAGAACTATTGGTAAACGTACGCCTTTAAAATGTATGTCAAAAAAACGCATATTTCGTGACACCTATTTCCTTGAGAAAACAGCCCGTACGATAAGATACGCTATGTGGCTAGGAGCTGGTTTTGCTTTGTCGACACCTTCAGTAAGCATTCTATTTCGAACAGGGCTCCCATCGGTTTGCACTTCGGATAAATGGAAAAAAATCACACGTTGCCTTATTACTTAGATCTTTATTATTTACGACTGTACGTGTAGCTTATTACAATATACATTTTATTTGCATTTCTTTCAACATTCCAGAGCGTTTACGTATTCGTCGCAGGACCCACATCAAAAAAAAGAGGTAAGCCTTGCATCAGGCTAGTACCGCAACACGTCGCTGTTGATTTCGACAAAATCTCGCAGTGTCCAGTATGTCTTCAGAAAAGAAGCGTCAGTCGCCTGTAGCAGTGGTCGGTGCCAATATTGCCATTGGCTTCATCAAGGCCATGATGTACACCTACGACATTGCTACTCTCCCAGTATACACAATTATACAGAAACCCTGGATTATCTGGAAGAACAGGTGGGTGTCACGTCAGTTGTGCAAAAGCGTGCCTTAGAACTGCTGTAAATATTTCGAAAATAGTTATTTGTGCTCTAATCTACTTCAGCCTTGATTAACCAAGAAACCCAGGAAGTGAGTAGAGTTTGTGGAAGAGCTGCTGATTCTAATCGCTTAGAAAATTATTAGGGAATATATAATATGATTCCGTAAGAGCTGTTTTGTCAAAATTTTTTCGTCAGTCAAATAGCAAGATTCAGAAACCAAGCATCAACGTTCCTATTTTGTTGTTAAGTGCCATATTTAATGGTAGATTTTTTACCAGTCTATTTAAACTAAATCTAATCTGGGTATTCACAGTATTAGCCATGAATATTTAGATTGATTATTATAGAAGGATTATACAAAAATGCACCTCACGATGGGATGAAGCACATCCTGTTTAGCTTACATTAAACGTAACGATCTCATTCACTAAGTGATCATGATATTGGCGGATTACGCAACGATTCGTTATTGCGCTCTACATAGTAAGCTATTGGAGAGTTTAAAAGATTCAAGTAGATGAAGGGTTGCCGCTAAAATAGTTTCTACTACAATGATTACAAAATTGACATTAAACGATTTATAATGAATGTCCTATGAATGCATAACAATGCAAGAGAATCTTTAGAAACCTTACATTTCATGCCCTGTGTCCTACCGTTGTCCTGTCCCGGATTGCATATAAATTATTCAATCATCGAACTTCGCATGAAAAAATGTGCGAACTAGTTTAGCCAGTACCTTAATTTTGATTTTTTAATAATAGCGTCTGAACAGCTGGTTCTCCCACGGTTTGATATCATATATTAAAAAAAAAAGACTTGATAGGCTTATATGAATTATACGCATATACTGAATATGACACATAGCATTTACTTAGAAAAGCTATGCTTAGGTGGTACTTTCTGTCACCTGTAAAGCAGTCTTCCTATAATTTCATCCTTGACAATTTCCATTTCTGTTTCTTTATTTTGTGGTTCGTTGCTGCCGCCTAGTTTGCTTCGCTCGATGGGCTTTCTCTGTTTGTTAACTTTATCAAAAATTATTTGCTGCTATTGTTTCGCGTGTCTTGTGAGCGTCAAAAATCCCTTCTGCAGCACAAGTTTGCTAGCTATTAAAAACATCTGCCCTGAAGCTTTTTTTTTTTCCACAATAGGAGTTAGAAAACAAAGTGCACCATTTTAGCTTATAGATAGATTATTGAAAAATAAATTTCCAAATAAAGACAACATAGAGCACGCTGTCGATTTGGACTACTTTTCGAAGCCTGTGTAAAACCTCATTTATTTCCAGTGGCAAAGATACATGCCGATGAACCGTGCTGATGGAAAGAACAAACATTTCGGGTAATTGAAGTCACAGTAGTAATTCAATTTCAACACTTACTATTGAATAATAGTTTCTTATTTAACAGAAGAGCTCGTTTGCTTTAAGCGTAAGAATAGTTTTAGTGGAAAAGTTGCAAGTTTGTTTATTAATTCCAAACGTCCGTTGAAGATATCACGTCAATCAGTAAGCGCTAAACATCAGATTAATAATAAAGCCTGCATCAGAAAATACTAAATGGCCAACGACGTAAAGTACTATATACTGCGACCACAAAGATACACACAATAGTACAATTTAGAAGATGTTACGTGTTTTACGTGATAGAGCATAGCAAAGCGTATCTGTGACCTTTGCTGTCACATTGCCACGTTTTTGGTCCTTATCGGTGCGTCAATGTATGCGTACGTACGGATGTAATATAATGATAACATACTACTGCCTAGTGAATTCCCGATCACGGCGACGAATTAGTGAGGGCTCAGGGCATCTGAGTCTGTAATGCTAGATAACATTGCAATCATTTATGCGTTGCCGTCTGCATACGATGGGAAAAAGGTAATCAGAGAAGCAACTAGGTTACGTCGTATAATGCTATGCCGTCCTTCTACTATGTTGTATCGCTGTTTGAAAACGTACTGACTCGCACAGATTCATACTAAGGAATTCGTTCTTCCTGAATTATTGTTTCTGAATTGTCGTGCGCCATTTTACCAGTTGTTTTTTTAATGATACCAATAGCTCCAGAACTTCAGTGGGTGACTGAGCGCCAAAAGTTGTGTTTCGAGGCTTTCGATTTCGGGTGTTGGGTTTTCAGTTTTCGGGCCAAAACGATCAAGAGAGCCAGGGTCGTTTGGTGACCATTAGCCAGCTAGGCATTCTTATTATGGTACTGAAATACTGAGTGAAGAAAATCTGCAGTGTTTTTTTCTGTTAATAGCCGAAGGCATGTTGTTCAGATAAGGAGGTAAGAAGGTTCGTTGCGTATGATCCTGTGCAAGGCTGAACCAGTGTGGTAGCACCTGTAAACCTTGTGCCATTATTCCACATGCTGTCTTCCGCGCTCATGCGTGACTCATTCGTCGTATTTTAGCGTGATTTAAGCCAGAACGCAATTCGATCTATAACAGTGTATAGGACTGGAGTTATAGACGCTAATAATAATTAAGTAATAGACGCTTAGATTTATGAAAAAACGACAGCAAGAATTTTGGACTCCTCAATCGAACGACATGAATTTCCTTACGACTTTCTGGTTGCTGAATGTTACTTATAGATAATGTCACATGCTGCAGATGAATATATTTAGGCAACGGTTCTTTGCTTCTTATTGAAACGTGTGAAGCGTCTAAGGGTCCAATAAAACATGCTTATATTTTAACTCCAGTAGAATGGACAGCAGCTGGCATTGACTGCTTAGTGTGCTTAGCCAGTTGCGAGAAACGGGCTCAGTACAAATAGAAATTGGTCATAGCGTAGGCTCTATACAAACTTGCAGGGCTTGGCTAAATCCAGACGTATTGCAATGAAATTTCTCATGATTTAATACAACAATATAGTAACACGATCTTGAGGAAAAACATATAGACCAAGTAGTTCATTGCCTTGACGAATTTAACAAGTCTGATGTCGTGTGTATGTATAATAATAATAATAATAATAACGCTATAAAAACCCAGAATTGTTGAAGTAAATGAAATAAGCGTGAAATCTTGTTACTAACTGAAACTACTCCATGTCCGCTATTTTTATATGCGTGTTGTGAAAATTTTTAAAATGATTTGAAAATGAGGAAAATTTAATGAAGTTCCGTTACAATATTCGTTCTGTAGTTTTACTTTCTGATATAATAAAACAAAAAGACTTAAGTTTAAGAAGCGTACAAATATTAAGGAGTGTTCAGTGTCGACTCTTATCCGGCACCTTGGCAAGAGCTATTTGTGGAGACTGGCTTTTAACACGTGACATGTTTGTGCCTGTATGGCCTAATCTTAAATAAGAACAATTGTCTTGATGATAATAATAATAATAGTAATAATAATCAAGATCATTGTTAACAGTTACGTTTCAACTATAGGTTTTTTTTTAGTGTAAATTCTTTGGACAAAAGGATGGCAGGTCAAGTTCACGCCATTGCCTCAATAAGACGTGACATAGGTTTGGATGGGCAATATTTTTGTTGTTGTTATTGTGGTGGAGGTGTCGATGTGCTTCTTGCATTGATTAGCGAGACGACCTCGAGAAGTCCTGTGTCGCTATACTGTTCGATGCTATCTTATTAGGTCCACGGTATTTGCCGCCATCGATGTATCTGCCTCATCACCACAGAAAGGAGCTCAGGAAGACGCTCGCTCTAAGGACACCACCAGCAGTGAATTGGCTACAATAGCTGGTCCATCGGGACAGACTGTGGCGGTATCGCCGAGTTCCCAGGATGTCGCAGCAGCGTCGTTGGCTGCATCCAATGTCCAGCAGCAACAACGACAGTCAGGCATCGGCAGCGAATCGATCGGTCTCAGGAGTAGCTCCAGCGGACCGTGGGTTCGACGGGTTCATCGTATCAATGAGGCGATCTTTGAGGGCATGCAAACTGTTGACCAACTCACTCGCAAGGCCGTGAAGCAATATGCTGACGAAGTCTGCTTCGGATGGCGTGAAGCTTACGCGGAGGAGGCAGAAGAACAGCCGGATGGCAAAACCTTCCGAAAGGTAAGATGTTACTTATAATCGATTCTTGCTTACTTTCATTGCTCATAGTCTTCACCACTATAAGATAAACAGGAACCGTGCTCCCCGTGTGGCGTTACCTTTTTCCCTAAAAACAAAATTTTGATTTTTTAAATTGCGAAATTTTAGGTAGTATTTAATGAAGTGCAGTATCAAGCGGATGAATTACAACGGATATCGTATATCTATCTATTAAGAATAGAGTGGTTCTATGTTCATTTCTCGTTTAAAATTGAAATCCTATTTTTGAAGGTCTGCTCCAGAGTACCTTCTCTGAACAAGGCACAGCTCTGTATATTAAACCTGACACGATTTCCCTGCAGAAATATATATCTATTGCCGTAATTATACGATAAGGTCATCGTTACATGCTTCAAAATATTGTGTTCATATGTAAAGTTACGTAATTGCCAGAGAGGTATTTTACGTAATAAAAAAGGCAGCAAGTGGTAATCGTGGTCGCTTCCATCGCATAAGTAACTAACTGTCTGATCAAATTAACGAACCTTTGTGACGCGTATGTGGGTTAAATCGTAAGACGATGAGTACCGCAGTAGTGACGACACAAATAGAGAGCTTAACTTATTATAAAACGTTCATCATCGTCAAAAATATTATATTATAGACTGAACGTGTAAAACATAGCGACTGTATTGTATAATTTTTCCTCTATTCAAAGTTGATATATATGCTAATTGTCAGTACTTAACTGTGACATCAAAATTTATGCTCTCCCATTCATACGTCAATGAAATGACCGTTGACTAAAGTTTTTGTTTATTTTAGGTTCAAATAAAAACGTCTATACGCATGTTACAATAAGCGTTTAGTGGATAGATTTTCTTCAAAGAGCTATTTTTCAGAAACTGATGGACTGAGACCGCGGAAGTCCATTGCGAATCAGTTGTGGAGTTAATAGCTGGACGCACTGGCTGTTGAATTAACACCCGGTTACCTTCGATTAGAAATGGTAGCCTATTAGTTCACCATCTAAACATTAGTTCGAGAAGTATAATTCAGTCATCAAGTAAAAATGGGACAAAGTTATATTGGCTGTTTATTAAGCCGCACGTCTGATCGCGTGGTTGTAGAGGGAACTTTGTAAGGTCTACGGCACATGCAAGTTTTCATTATATATCTAGGACAGTATTGAGTAATTGGAAGCCTTATTTTCTAGATTCTTCAAGGAGAGTATTGTTGGATGTCTTATCGAGATTTCGATCGTAAAGTTGACCTTGTGGGCCGCGCTCTTATGTCTTTGGGGGTTCGTCCCCGACAAAACGTCTGCATCCTTGCCGAGACTCGTATGGAATGGATGTTAACTGCACAAGCCTGCCTCAGGATTAATATCCCGGTCGTTACACTTTACGCTACACTTGGAGAAGAAGGCATTATTCATGGTTGGTACCACTATATAATCTAAGATAGGTTTGTCTATATACATTTTGCTAATCCCTGATCGGGGCTGTACGTACTTGTTTCGCAGATCATCGGCCTGCCACGCATTCGCAATATGTTGTAGTTGCTTTGACGTTATTATTAAGCACCGAAGCTCAGCTGTGCAAAACAACGCGAGACACGTTTTTGTGATTTGGGATATTGTATTGATTTTTGTTACGTACAATTATTTTGTGGCACTGCACAAAGCTAAGATCGGTTCGCTTCAGTTAAGATCAAATAATCTTAACTGAAGAAGATCAAATAATCTTCTTGCGTTCCAGTTTGTAGATCGGATGCTGACTTATAAGATCTAAAAGACGATTTTATCAAAAACTGCAATTTTCGGAATCGAAGTGTCAATCTAGTTTTCTGCTACTTTATAAATTTCAGTTTCAGCTTCGTTATTTCCAATTTAGCGAGATGTTGTCTTTCTTTTCAATGCAACCAGTTAACGTTTGCGAACTTCAGCTCATTCATAAGTGTCGTTTATTCTACTGGCTGTGTTCATACTCTCGCGGCAGCTCAATGAGACGTTGTAAATAAAAATTCTGTCTCTTGATTGCGTTTTTTTGGCCGTTTGGTTGAATAAAATAAAGGTTGTGTGCTTAACCTGGTGACAATTTGCACTCACAGAGTAAGTAGAGGCTTTGTGAAGGAACATTTTTTAAGAGGTATAAAATACTAAAATCAACATTAATTAGCCTAATCTTAATGGCTGTCTTGTCTACACCATTGGGTTATTCACTCATAAAATACATTATCTATTCCTTTTCCCTGCAAGCTTTATACTCAATATGTCCACTATGATATATACTGCTACCGAAAGAATCAATCTGCTTTATGCATGTACGATACTTTATAGAATATGTTGCTCTGCGTCAACCGAAAGCTCACTTATTAAAATATTTAATAATAAATTGCAAGTAACTAACGAGCATTAAACATAATCGTCAAATGAGAAAGCTTATTTCTCTGTATGAATGCCATCTTAAAATATAAACATGTATTGTTGCATAGTTGCTCGGTTACTGACAATTACTTATTGTCAATGCCTGAGTCATCGATCAATTAATCATCGATTGAAGCTTCTCTTGGCATCAAGTTTCTATTGATACCGGTCTAACACTTGATGTCGCGGGTAACAATAACCGCTAATCTTCTTGCAGGAATTACGGAGACAGAGACAACACATCTGATTACGTCTCAGAACCTAATGGCAAAAGTGGGGAAGCTTTTGCCGCAGCTGCCTTCAGTTACACACATCATCTATATGGAGAGTTCGGTCCATAAGGCAAAGCCCAAACTCGACAAAAGCCTCGGGGTACATTTGGTTCCCTTTTCTCAGCTTGAGGAGCTGGGAAAAATCGCCGACGAGGGACTCAAGGGTAAGATCTCAAAGAATGTTATATATGTTACCGTGTTATAGACTTTGGCGCGATCGTGTTGAAACACGTGCGCCTCTCCTTTATTGGCTAAGCCCGTTTAAGATAGCCACGGCACATGAAAGAGACATTTCGATAGAATTGCATGTGTATATCTTGCAGAACTAACAAAGTACGACCACTGCACAAGCTTTCAAGAAGAAACACACGGGCACTTGACCCATGTATTAGTTACAACTGGTATGAGGTAGCTCAACTGCAGAAGAACGTCAGTTAATCTCCAGTAAATGCAGCAATATTGAGCCATTTATATTTGTTTTTAGGCGAGATTCCCGGACCAGACGACACAGCGATTATCATGTACACCTCAGGGTCAACAGGAAAACCAAAAGGAGTCATGATCACTCAGGCCAACATTGTTGCAACGGCCAGAGGATTTCAAACCATGGTGCCTGAGGTAAGTTTCGATTCAGTTGCAAACTTCAGATTTACCCCCAATCCAATTGGCAGTTCGGGTCCGGCTTCGTTTTGACTTTCCGGTATGCTGAACACCAGACATGTAAACCGGGCTCCATTAATTTCGTTATTTTCTTGTTTACTGTAGTTAAACATTGCTAAAAAGTGTGTATTGTAGTTTATTATTTTGCTCTAGGCTCGTTGTCGCCATGCTGTTTTTACGTATTTTTTAAAACACGGCCGTAATGAATGATTCTGTAATCTTCTTTTGCTTATTGCATAGGTGGATCCTCGTGACGCGTATATAGCTTATCTACCGTTGGCACATATTTTCGAGTTGTGCTGTGAGATGGTGGCCATCGCTCTTGGAGTCCGAATAGGCTACGCCTCACCCCTCACACTCACCGACAAATCAACGGGAGTGAAGACTGGCTGCAAAGGTGACGCGACCCTACTCCGACCAACTGTCATGGTGTCAGTCCCACTGATTCTTGATCGAATCCGCAAGAGCGTCACAGAAGCCGCCGAAGCCAAGGGGCTGTTTGCGAAAATGTTTTTCAAGCATGTCGTAAATTATAAAGCATTTTGGCAACGGTGGGGCTTTAATACACCGCTTCTCGACCTCATAGTATTCAACAAGATGAAAGCTCTTCTTGGAGGTCGCATCAAGGTTGTTGCCACAGGATCTGCTCCGCTTTCAGCCGATACTCATGCATTCATCAAGGCGTGTCTAGGCTGTGACCTTATTCAGGGTTACGGACTTACTGAAACCTCAGCCGGTGCCACTGTTATGGAGCTGAGTGACATGAGTTTAGGAAAAGTGGGGTCTCCCCTGGCTGGCACTCTGCTTCGTCTCGTCGACTGGCCTGAAGCAGGCTACTTTTCAACAGATAAACCTAATCCTCGGGGGGAGCTTGTTATTGGCGGATCTACCGTATCTAAGGGCTATTATAAGAATGAAGCTTTGACAAGAGAGTGCTTCAAGGTTGATTCTGACAACATGAGATGGTTCTATACTGGGGATGTCGGTGAAGTATACCCGGACGGTACCATTAAAATTATCGATAGGAAGAAGGACCTAGTAAAACTCCAATTTGGCGAGTACATTTCTCTGGGAAAAGTTGAGGCAGAACTGAAAACGTGCCCACTTATCGAAAATGTCTGCGTGTATGGGAGTTCGTTTCACACATACTTGGTAGCTTTGGTCGCGCCTAATGAAAAAAACCTTGAACAGCTTTCAATTCGTCTGAACAAGCAAGGCTTGACCTTCCAGGATATGTGCGAAGATCCTGAGATCAGAAAAACTGCCACGAACGAAATTCTCGAACATGCTCGTCGTTGCAATCTGCATAAGATGGAAATTCCCACCAAGATTAAATTGTGCTCGGAGTCTTGGCAGCCTGATTCAGGACTCGTAACCGCGGCTTTCAAGATCCGCAGGAAGCAGATCACCACCTACTATCAGAAGGACATCGATCAGATGTACACAAACTCCAAGTCGACTTAAGCCCTAACAATCTTTTGAGAAATACGACTCTAGTTTACTGTTGTCAAATCCAAGGCCTTGATGGATGGTGCTTCTGCCTCCCGGACCCCAGAGAGTAAAGATATATAACTATTATATTATATTCACACAATTTTTAATACGTTCAACCATAACCTTACTTTATCGATTCATTTGTATGAGTGCACTATGACCCTGATACGATAGTTTGGGCCATGGCACCATAAATGGTCTGGTATAAGTACATTGCATGAGCTTGTATCGATATAGACTCGTACTTAGATTATTTGAGACGAATCGTCCCACTATGAGAAGAACCAAGTGGTAAGGACGTGGATTGTCAACTATAGATATATATGGGAGGAATCAGGCATCTAATGTGTCTGCAAGCGAATAAGCGCGAGGCATAGTGTGGCTGAACCCAGCCAGTGCCAGCGTTGTAAGTCACTGAACTGTCCGATTTTGGGACACTGTTCGAGTACAATAATTCCCCGAGGTGTCCCGATAATAACGCAGGATGTTAGTAATGATTTCAAAGTGAGCAATTATACTCAAGCTAAGCCGATGCGGCTACTCTTAATAGACCGACTAAAATGGGATCGTTTGCATCGAATTTTGGAAAGGGTGCAGGCGCAAACGGATCGGCTTAGCTAATACATATATCATTGGGAACGCATATTTACACAATGTGAAACAGCCCCAACGCTCCCGATCAGGGCCTGAGCCCACATTTTACTGATTCGATAAAATACCCACCTCTACCTATGCACAGTTACTTCCACAGGAAACACGCCTAAGGCGTAAGTGGAGCTTGCGCTGAGCAAACGCAAGTTTGGTCAGAGCAAGTTTCGAAAGAAAGTAGCAGCCTTTAACAGGCCGCATTAGGGTAAAACGGTTGTAGTTCGTTGTGAGTAACCAGGCTAGCAGAGAAACAAAGGGACTTGTGATGGACCCTTTTTACTGTCCTTTAGTGGAAATGAGATAGTATTTCTTAGGTACTGGTAACATTTTGGTCACTCTGTATCTCGATGTACTGTACAACAGCTTGCTCTATTGCCTCTATAAAGTGAGCAATACGACAGCGTAAGTTAGCTGTGTAATACTATAAAATGATGTTTGACGTGAACGCAGTCGATGTAGCGGCGGAGCGTCCCGATAGATTTCGTTTTAAGATCTCTATCACCGCTATCAAAAGGGGCGTGTCAATAGAGAAGGAACAGAATAGAGCTGGACATGGCGAAAGTAACTCTTTGTCCGGACGACAACAATTCACCTTGTTATCCTGAGGTGAAGTGGAACTATCTTCAGAACCAGTTTTCCAGCGCGTTAATGACATAATCTGTACATATGGTAATAGGATATATATACAAACAATGCACCATGGTAGGTAAAACTGATTTAAGATTTTAACTATCACGAGAATGGATGGATCCAGTGCCGTAGTATATATGCAGTAAGTGTGTTTACGATGATCGCGTCAAGCACTTTTGTCTAAACAGGAAAGTAATATATAGACGATGTCTATAGGAAATAAATAATAAACAATTAAAAAAAAAGATAAAAATTGAAATCTTGCGTATATCTGAGATTCGAATTGGACTAATGAGAAACCACTTTTTCGAGGTTGTTACTCCCGAATAATAGCTTCCGATGTACTCAGTACTTGAAGTCGTCCTGGACGGTGGTCACGTATGTAATGGATATTTCTAAGCGAAATTATACGTTCTTCATCGTCTAATATAACCTGGATTCCGGCCGGCGGGAACAGAAGAGGCCACGATTAGAGACGGGAAGTACGACGCTCAGAGATGATAGTGAAGATTTAGGAAACAACACAAGTTAATATGACCATAGTAACTCTACCGTAAGAATTATACGATTTTTCATATACACGATGTTATGCCGTTTCTCTCTCTCTCTCTCTCTCTCTCTCTCTATCTAATGTTTATCATAGTGATGATACTGAGGAAGTTTATGTCGGTTGGGCACAGCACTGGTCGCCGCATTCTCTACGTTCTAACCCGGTTCGGTATGCGACAAAGTTACGAATTCTATAGATGTAACCATTTTACACAGATGATGGTAAAACCCGACTTTGTCAAAGCGAAGCAACAAATCGTAACCTAGGGAACGACATCGTTGTAATTATTAAGGATAATGGCGAAGTAAACATGATACCAGTGGCATTCATAAGCAAAACTCCAATGTATCATACCACGTTACAGAATTACCCCATTAGTGAATAAAATAAAACCGTGTTATGCTTGTGAACCTCAATGCGCTTCAATCGCCTCTTTTACCTTTGCTTATATGAGCCATTATTATTATTATTATCATCATCATCATCGTCGTCGTCGTCATCATTATTATTAATAATGCATATATAACATAGGGTCTCCTAAAATTATCAGCCTCTGTAGTTTTATACAATAAAATGCATCTAAGAAAATAACGTCGTTTCACGGTAAATTGCTAACATAACGGCGGTACATAACGGTTACATTTTCAAATAGTTAAGAGGCCATATCGAATGCGTGTCCTTGTGAATAACGTCAGTGTGGTGCGCAGGCAATGTCCATTGTTTTCCTAGTCGAATTTTCCGTTTACTGATTGATAATTTAGCGTGAGAAAGCTCTTTCGTCACTGTACAAAATTGTTATATTGCTGAATTCGTGGAACTTTGATCTTAGGTCGGCCATCAATGATGAGTGGCAGAACACACCGTCCTACATATATTTCACGTTCTACCTTTGTATTTGGGACAGCTATGTAGACTGGTCAGACTACTTACTCCTCGTGCCATAAAAGCGTTATAGCCAGGCTCTCTTTAAGACTATTGAGGAAGTGGCTTGAAGTGATACTTGAAAGTTAGAGTGTGTTCATTAAGTCGAAATAAGCTATTTCGTGAATTTAGCCAGCTTCGTTAATGGTATGCTCAGCTGAAGAGTACTTCAGTAGTTTTCCATTTGGTAAGGACCAATAAGAAGCGTCGGAGATATTATTTCTTGCTATTCAACGTACCTATATTTGACACCCGAAACAGATGTAAAGCACCGTAAGCTGGCCATAGAGTGACAACAACATTACAAAAAAAGCAGATTTTCCAATGGTATGTAGCGCCTGAGAATCAACAAGTGAATTCACTGGAAAAGTTAAGCAGTATAAATTGTGCACGATATAATATCGCGGTCACTGCGTTTCTGACTAAATCTGTCTGATGACGATTCGGGAGCGTATTGCTTATGAACGTGTACAATGGGATCTACGAAATGTTAAATGTTTCATACAACCTGTATTTAGTAAACGAGAACATTTATCCTCTAACTCCTTTTGTTTACAAAAATGCTTAAGAGAAACTGTGTTCCGGCAGCACGGACTTGTACACGTATGCCTGTCCTATTGCTTAATTTGTTTTCGCTGGCAATACTTCTCTCACGAGCACTCATCACTCACTTTCATGTCAGATCTCACTTTGCTGCTCAAGCTAACTCTAATACTAACACAAAGAGAGTTTTAGCATGTAAATTTTTGACGATGCTTTCGTATTGGAGAAATATGCTGTTGTAACCTGTTTTGCATGCCATTCCGCCTGTAAATTTCCCCCTACTGAGTAAATATATATGCGAATAATGCTAAGTTAGTCAAAAAGGCTTATCGCGGAACGGGCATCCGATATAAATACCACACATTTCTTTTATCATTTTAGGTCTACTGCAGTGAAAACCTTATAGGTCTAATTACAGACATAATAAGAAAGCTGAATTTTTAAATAAGATAACAAGTGATTACGGTTGACTTAAAAGAAGTCAACCGTAGAATTTTTCTGTAGAAGTAAGCAAATGAAACCAAACATAGCTACCCAGCCTTTTAGGACAGTGGGTAAAAGGTACATTTTGTACTAGCCAATCAATAGCTCAAAGCAATCAAAACAATTTATCCTATTATACTGTAAACTAAGTGAAACTAAAAGACTCTTATTATTTCAGAAGGTTCTTTTTCAAATATTCAATCGAGCATAAAAGCCTATAAAAGAAAATTATTGTGAAATTTGTGACACCACATTGAATGACTACCATGTCGTGCAGAACAACAAATCATTCTACATATGAGTCCATGTTTCCATGAGGCTGCCAAGCACATTTGTAGCGTTTTTGCTTATCTGCAGCACTCGTAAAGGGACGAAGTATTACGTTGTTAGGATTTACTCTACAAATCTATACGTATGTAATCATGGAAGGAGTGGAATCAACGAGTCGTCATTTCTAAGGTTAGCCAAATATCCTTTCGTTTAATTTATGGGCCATTACATACAGAAGAAAATGGACCTTAAGCTTAGGTATTCTTTCGCATCTAGAGTTCACTCGCCGCCGTTTTTTGTGGGCACGATATGCTATTTTCTAAAGGGACACAACCCACGTCTTACTTTTATCGTGTTATAAACAAGTTGAGCTAATAGAGGTTTCACGTGCTATACAATCCTTGAGAAGACTTGGTTCCTGGACTCCATCAGTCTCTCTGCTAGTACAATCCACCACAATTTCGAATAGAAAAATGCACTGCCGCTACAAATGTTCTGGGTATTCCAGGTCATATAGAGATGCTTATCATGGCATACAGAAGCTTTAAAGTATTAAAGAATAGAAATAAGTAAATAAGAAAAATTCAAAATTTGAATTGTCAAAAAAACCTTTGTGGTGACCTATTGAATGATTCGTTTTTATAGTAATAGCTGATTATATAGAAACACGTATGCTGTGCAGACATTTGCAAACAACACTTATTTTCTAAAGCTGTTGAATCGATAGGAATGTCTGCATCTAATATGTAAGTGTCTATGCAGCTTTTATCCTCCTACCTAAATTAAAGACTCTTCTTTGTTTTATAGGAGGACTTATTTTTTCACATATTACTTCCTCAAGTTCTGACGCTGCGGGTAGTGACTGTACCGAATTTGAGTATGTCGTTCGACGTTTTTAAAAAAACGCAAAGGTTAGAAGACCTGTGCGAACCTCTATCTCGGACTAAAAATTATTTTTTTTTTTTATAGGTTGGGTGTTTTCTTTTTATAATTCACTTCGTATAGTATCGTAGCACAATGTTTGAAAATAGTTTTGTAAAAGTTTAAAATCCAATCTATATGATTATTGATTGGGTATTTTCAAAAGTGAGCCGTTCGTCACTTGGTGCAGATATTTCGACTGCGTTTGATTAATACAGTCAACTCAGCTTTAGAACCTGGGGTTTCAAATGTTTGTTAGGGGGGAGGTGGTAAAGGTCTAGAACTGATTTATCCCATTATAAAATAACAGAACCTCAATTGGCTCGAGGTGACTCAACTCGTACATTTACGTTGGCATCGTAAAGGTTCCACCTAAACTCATGAGCCATCGCAGATTGTTGTGAACGGCTACAACTGTGGACAAAATATTACTCGTCGTAGTTACTCATTTTTGTTGATGGTCTTTTTAGGGTATATATATTTCTCGATTTCAGTAAATCGTTTAAAGGCCCTTATTTGTATCAAGTCGGGCCGTAGCTTCAGCTGTTCAACAAATAGTCGTGTTTCAGAGAGCAAAAAGACAGGTCGGTTTTCATCGCGAGCAGTGGACGACGCGGAACACTTAAGGAAGCTAGCTTTACACGGATGAACCCGCGTAATTGATTCACTGTGAGACGTCCTTATTTCGACACAAAAAATTCGACACGACACAAAAAATTACGATGGGAACGTATGAATGTGTGTTCTGGTCGTTCTGGGAACCTCATTTAGACTGCATAAATAGGTTGTTAAACTAACATGCTTTTTGGTAACAACTACGAACTTCTAATCTCGTTAGTTTTGTTCAACCGCTGTTTTATTAGATTAGCATCGTTTTTCAGTAACTGAATATATTACCTCGTTGAAATACTGAGGTGAAGGCCATATTTTTTGCATTAGGAGGCCTAGGAACGTTAGTTCACAAAAGAGCATAAGAAATCAGAACTTTTACCATAAGAAATTAAATGTCGGCTTCCTCCTAACTGAATATCTTTTTTCAAATGTAGCACCATATTCTTGGTAGCTGAGTGATTATAAATTCGCGCTTTAAAACTTGATTAAACAATTCGTATTTCAAACGTCCTTTGCAAGGACGTTTATGATGTACTACCTAGTCTAACAAACACAATGTGTCGTAATCTGCCTCAGAGTGTTAAAACCTTTTTCAAGGATCTGCCTTTTAAGCAAATAGAAAAATCACAGATATGTTCTGAAGTCACCACAAGAATAAGTGAGAATACATTTTAAAAAATATCATAACTGAATGTTATCCATTACCTCTGGATTTGATTGGAACGATTTATTTTGAAAAACATTAACATGTATTTAGTTTGTCAAATTCGTTTCTTTCTTTCTTTCTTTCTTCTGTTGTCCAAAATCCGTCCAACTTGAAGACAACTTCGTCGTTGTTCATACCCTAAGAATTGAACAATTTACTATTGCTAACCTTGTGATATCTTGATAACTATATGATAAGCTCAATATGATATCTGTTATTGTATCCTGCGACAATTTACAATAGTAAAACTTAGAACAGTTTTTATATAGCTAGCTTAAAAGGCTAGACGCTTGCAGCGTTCATGCCAGCTTGAAACTCTAAAGCTTATTTTATCTAAACCTTATGTTATTGAAATGGATAATTAATTTGTATTTTTCACTTACTCTAAATTCACGATCCATAATGAGCATCAATCACGTTGGTTTGATTGGTGTTACCGTATGGAGTATCGATGGAAGTTACCGTAACTGAAATCCGGTTAAGTTTACCGCAGACGTTGCCAGATATTTTCAATGTACTGTTCCTATTTGTTAACCAACATAAAGGAACTTGATGGACGCAGAGAATTTGAATGAGAGGCGTATTTGAGCGAGATTAATGTTGGCTATAGTATATTTTATAATCTTAGGTGAATTCCATTAGTAAACAGGCTCGATCAGTGCACGCGGAATTTATAAGATAATAGCGTTATAATGTACTACTTTGAAAATTATGCGTACAGCGAAAACTCTTCAGGTGTATTTTGCACGGTACCAAATTGTCAAAAATAACTTTTACACCTGAATATAGACGTTCACCCTTTGCTTATCTGCCTTTCGCCTAGAATTCTCTAAGAGTTTATACATTGAATGAACAACACTAATTATTAGGTAATTAACAAAATACCCAACTGTTCCAAATATCTAGACAGAGCTGGTATTCCAGTAATTGTTTGAATGCGATAAGCGTTGCTGACGATCCATTAAATACGGTTTTGCGCACTTTGTCAAAATTTTTTTGAAGTTCCGCTCATACACCACGCTTTGTACATAGATCTCTCTGAACTAAAATATTTTTTACGCTTTCCTCGCCTTTAGTTTACCCAGTTTGTATTGATGTTCGCCATTTGAGTTATCTACAGTAAATTCCTCATTAAAACTATGAATTAATTAAATTAAATTAGGATATGCTATCTGAGCATGGTTCCATAATCAGCAAATGAATCTCTGATAGCGAGGTCTTGCCCAGCTGTTGAACACAGTAACCGTTTAAATCCTTTGTGGAAAACCGTGACAGCGCAATAGTCTTTCTTGAGCCGAAGCTGCTTTACGTTATAATTAATTGAATTAGCTTACACGGAAGCCAGGAGTCTAAAGGAGCGCGTACAATAGTAGAAATCATTTATTGTCAAGGTGCTTCTCCCGTTATATCCAGAGATGATGAATAATAATAATAATAATGTGTTATTAATCGGACTGCCAGAAATTGGTGGCCTCAGTCATCCTTTTAGATAAAGTCATGTCCGGTCGTGGTACATGTACATGCAGCAGAATTTCCTCTTTGAGTGCTTATGTTTTGATATTGTAAAATAAATTTTTTATTTTAAATCCGGTGCTATGCAGCGATGCTTCTAACCATCGTATATTCAGCCGATAGCTACGAGTCAAATCAAATGCCACAACTGATGGTCACGGGCTATTGTTTAAAAACATTGCCTTATGCTTTTTGCACTTAATTATTTCAATAAAAGTCCAAATGCAGCGAGACTTGCGGTCGAATCTCTTAAGTACCAACCAGCACTTATCTAAGGTTACTGAGAGGATGTGTTTGTTGTGTTTAAAATTTGTAACACGCCTAAATTAAAAAGCTTTGCGGAATCTTGTGCATGTTTCATTGAAAATATTCTTCTACTCGGGATGATCGATGGGTAGCATTTGGCTAGTCCAGATGGTTTAGCCGGAAAGTCTATTGTTATGCTTCTTAGAATTGAACCAATAAAGCATTTAGAGATAAAACGGAAAACCGTAAAAGTCAGAGCGTTTTATCCGAGAAGCACATACAAACAATGATTAAAGAAAAATATTTCTTTTAATCTAAACCTCCTGCCTGTCTATATCACTCAACCTCAACTTCCTTACAAACAATGCTTACGAGCCCATTGTATTAATGTGCATTATAAGTGCGCCAGTTAAGAAGATCAGGGTCAACATGGATCTCTTTGTTAATTGTTATAAAAAAAAAATAGGAGCCAAATTAGATTGCTAGTGAATTTATTGAATTGTCGCATCAGTGAGCCATGTAAGGATTTATTTTGCTCAAGGTTCTCCGAATGCTGAAAAACACTGACCCAATCAAATCGATTAGCGACTACTATTAGCTTGTAGGATTTAGGACTCTTAATGGCATGGACCTCACTCACTTTCAAGGCTGCATAATGAACCAAATTTCAAAGGTAAGGTGTAACTCAGTCTCTTATTTCGTAGATGTATCGTCACTAGGCCACACAATGATTATTTGCCGGTCTGCTGATCTAAATTTAGTTTGCAAATTACTAAGTAATAAACCGGCATTTCGCTTAGTAATGGAGCAGACTTTATGGTCATGCCCGAAGCCACCATTCGATTGAAGAAGGTCAATTATATCGTACATTGCAACAATATTTTATTATTAAGTTTTCACTTAATTAAAACATTGTTGCTTATTGATAACGACAGTAGTAGGTTTTAGATTGTGGTTGAGATGACCGATAGACAAAAATGCAACTAACCGCTTACCAAAACTCAGCACTAGGTAAAAAATCGTAGGTGTAATCATTTTTTAACTTATAACCCCTATGATTGCTTGAAAATCGAACAACTACTAGATAACATTTGTTATTAAAAAACTCTTTATTATAGTATGTTAATTATTTCGTTGTCAAACATTCAAGTCTATAACATAGGATTTAGGATTATGGGAATCCAAGTAATTTGCTTTACTACTTTCATTCAAAATCAATATCCGGTAGCATTATTTCGTAAGTTGAAGGACGCTTAACAAAAAGGTTCGATTGATGTTGTTACGCAAAGGAAAACATTGTCAAGCCAATTCAACGAAATCTAAGTGTTCTCAAAACGAATTTAAACAGGACAGTCATAAAATGGATTTGTTGGGCTATTCTCCAAAATAGTCCAGCCGACATCGTGTGGCGTCTGTCGCGTTCATGTATAGATGTCATTGAGCTTTGTCATTGAGGCTGGTAGTCAATATTTCCTTTTTATGCGTACGGTCGAAAGGCAGGACAGTAACGGTTATATTTTCGTAATGAGTTACTATCGGTACACGCTTCTACCTGGTGTATATCATGGTTATCAAAGTACTAAGCCTAGGAAGAACAAATAATAAGGTGTATTTCACGGCAAATCTAGGTGTCTACTTTGTACATCAAGTTGTGCGCCTATAGGCGATCAGCAATAGCTGGATTATCAAAAACAGATATAAAAACCTGTGCTATTTTGCATGCGACAAGTCTGTTCTATATTTGATGCTCAGATATTTATTTTATGTTGCCAGCACATCGTTCACTTTGTTCACGCATTCCTTGCGAAGGATACAAATATATGTTGGCAATTTTTTGTTGTTCTGGGAATTACCTGCTTAATTTATTAAATAAATATTTAAATAATAATAAGAACATATTATAATACCGTACGAGCATTACGTCATTTTCTGTACTAATCGTACACCTACTAAGTGTGTATCTTAATTCTCAATGTATAATATACATATGTTTTCCTACATTTATCGACAGAACAACAGCTAATCTGAGATATTTTCAAAGTACCTATATGGTACAATTTGTAGTACCGCACTATCTATGCTTAAAAATCTAAGCAATCACTAAATATGGCCTTTTCTGCAATAAAAAACAACAATGTAACTTGCGGCAACTTACGTAGGTAAGTTGCGACCAATGATGCTTTTATTTTTCGCTGATACCTTATCAATATCTCATTATGAATATTCTTTATCCTGCAAGTTCCATGATTGAAATAGCAGTCACTTTTTATTCAAGGATATCATTTCTTTCATTACATAACTTGGCCAAAAAGTTACAAACTTAATGAAGTCTTTTTAAGACGAGCGTTCGAAGAGTAGCGTATCCATATTAGCTGTCATGCTGTGCTCACCTGAATGCATATTATAGAGCATAGAATACATGTAATAAATGTTCGTATCGATATGTATGTTGTGGTCTTAGGATATCTAATTAGATTACTTTAGCTGTCGATCTTATTTCTACAATTACTCACATTAAGTTGTTTAAGGTTCACTTTTTTTAGCGGGCCACACGATGTAGTTGTCAGCCGTTGTTGATAAACACACTTAGACTTAACAGCAGCCTGGTGGTGACCACAAGTTGGCGCTGCGTCAATAGAACTTACGACGAATCCTTTTTTAATGTATCGTTGTAGTAGATATGAGATATAAATAAAGGAGAATCAACGATATGAGCGCCAACATAAAATTAAAGCTGTGTATTGCTTTTTTCCTCTAGGTCCGCTACATCGCGACATCAGCTGGTCAATATCGATGCCTTTCAATGTCTTAAGAGTGTAACTCTTATATAGAATGAGAAAATTTAACGTTACGCTCCTTCAATTTCAACGGTGTTCGTTCCTTCATTTGATTTAGACTGGTGTTTCTCCCTCCACCTTCCCGGCCCCCTTCTGCCGATTGCCCTCACAACACACAGGGAGTAAGAAATCGTCGCTTGTCAGTGTCTGTTATTGCGTCCGCTACTCCTTAGCTCTATACTGGCAGAGCGACGTCTAGCGCGCGCCTTTCTTTCCCTTGATTGCAGTGAGAGGTTCGGAACTCGTTTACTACCGCCGCTTGAAGGCGCACTGCCGCCAACAAGTCTTACAAGTTCTATCGGGTTACGCTGTAGAATGATAGGCAACTGACCGCTAACCCTCGTTAACTGAGAAATTTCTATCATAGACGTAAAAGCTGAATTTGAACCGAATCACACGTTCGGCCACTGCGGTCGATAACCAACGTGACGAGCGGCGTTTCCTAGAGAACTGTTAGCAACCAAAAACACTTGCCGCGACTATCCCCACCGGCTTCAGTCAACTTATGAACGTTACAGAACAAATACCATCATCTGCAAGTTGTCCTCAGTGTTCTTGTAAATCCACCCTTCTGTTTTTCACCTGGCTTAAGACGCCTCATCTCAGTTATTCGAGCTCCGAACGGAAATTAACCATTCTATATTTATGTATAGTTTGTTTTTCGTAAAAATGATGACGATACTGGACTCTCTGGCAGCGACGGCAACCGCAGTAGCGTTTGAGAGTCTTTCATTAGTGTTTGACTTGTGCTCGTTACCACTCTACGCAGTTATTTACCAACCCTGGAAGCTCTGGACTTACAAGTACGTTAACTTATCGCTCTCATAGTTCAAACACACTGTTGACAGAGGATCTTGCCAAAAACAATTAGATTTATCAGTCAAAATTCATTGATTTGTTTTACTGATGTGCGAGGTGCTACCCGATTAGCAGCTGGATTTCTGTGTTGTTCATACCTGCATCTGCGCATTTATAAGTCCGTCATGTATGTTGCGTTGTGAGCTGAATTCTCTGCGGATTATCTACTGAGTGCTGTTTCTTTTCGCTTGCGAAATCAGTATTACCATTAGTCTGTGATAGTTTGATTCAACGTTTAGCTTAGAAAATGAAATATAGAGCTTAAATACTTACTGCAACGACATGTAGTATGCTAGAATAAATATTTAAGCCAACATACACCCCGGGATTAACCTAGGTGTATAGGTAAAAGAAGGAATACATAAATGATTAGAACGTTCGATGGGAGCAAATCTAAATTCCATCTACTGCTTAGGTTAACGAAGACAATAATCAGTCCATATGAAAACTAAGCAGCGTTGGTTGAGGTCATATCATTTCAACGATATTCCACTCCAATGTCTACAAAACGTTACAGGGAAAATCTATTTCTAATAGTAATTTATTTCATCGTTTTTGTTGAGTACGAATGTGTAGTATTAGTGCTTGAACACTTTTAGATCCATGCATGCCCGTTCCAATTTTGCTGTAGGGATGTCCGTAATAGTGCATAGCTTTCTTAAGCGGCTTCATCGTTTTACCTAATATAACTTAAAAAATATTTATAGAGAAAAAGGCTAAAACTTACTGTCGGTACTATTGGTAAAAAAATGAACATAAAACGCACTTGTAGTGTGCGACGTTTGCCTTTCATTTTTGGTGGGAACCTTTGAATGACAGCAGATTCTCTAAGGACAATTGAAGGTTTTACCATGAGGAGACTAATGTCCTGAAAGCATTATAGCGCTTGAAGAGAAATATAATTGTGGCTGTACGTCTCAAAATAAAATCTACATTAGACTTATCCAGCTTCATGGTTGGATCATTCTCTATACAGATTCCTCTTCTGCTACAGAATAGGCCAATATTATCAGTTAACTAGAAAAGAAACTACATCCCAAATTATGGTATACCCTTTTGTAAGGGCTACAACATCTCAGATCTATATATTTAGGCATATGTGTGAATGGAGGTATGCAGAAAAAGTTGTGCGATCTACTGAGGGTGCTGATGAAGAAGAGCAACTTTTCAAACTCTTGTAAGTTTGTACGCCATGAAGTGCACAACTTTAGGGATGCTACAGGTTTCGAAAAAATATATTCTAGAACATGGAAATAAACTGTAGGTGCGTCGTCAACTGAGGTAAATACGTTAAATAGGGAAGCATGGTGTACAGGTTCTGTCAAATACTAAGGAAGTTTGAGTAAAATGTTTCAAGTCATCAGAGTAAAACCGCGTTATTTTTTTATTAGGACACTATTTAACGTACTGCCTTACTTCGTCAAGGTTCGCATTTTTAGTGAAGCTCAAGACCGATGAAAACTGGAGCCTAAGCGGTGGAGAGCATAAATCGCAAAAATAAGCAACAATTGTTTATACCTAGTTACCAATAATGTTATATACGCTCCTTCTTTCTATTACAGGCCTATAATGTACAGTAAGCCCCTCGAGGGCGCTCCCGAATGGGGTCCCTTGGTCAAAACTAACTACGAAATAGATCCTGAGCTGTTTAGTGGCTGTACTACGATCGATCAATTGATGAGAAAGGTGTTCGTGCGGTTTCAACACACAAAAGGATTTGGTACTCGACAGCAATTTGGAGAAGAATTTGAAACACAACCTGACGGAAAGGTCTTTAAAAAGGTATTTGTGATGGTTTGGAAATTTAAGTAATTGCTTACATTACAGTTACAGGGCACATATGAACAACAGACCCTATAGGATATTCAGTCATTATTTTCGAGGATCGTACGAGAAGTCTAGTCCGCGCACCGCACACTCGTTAAAAATACAGAGCCAGAATAATCCATACGTTTTTATTTTCTGTGTAGATCTGTATGTAGTATACGGATTCTTTCTAATGGCATTTTTTTTCGATGCCATGTGTTTTTGCATACTGTCTAATCCTGGATTCTCACGCGACTTCTATATGAGTCGATCTGCGGTCATGATTAGTGAATTATTTGTTGGCTTAATCTTCTGTATTACACAGAATGCTTAGGGAACCGTAGTAGTCCATCATTGACCATTTGCACAGATTGTTGATCGCTAGCTACATACGCTAGATCAATCTGTTTATTTCCAAATTTCCAGTTCATTGATATTTCACTTTTGATATTCTGGGAAATTACACTTATGCCAAAAAGCCTTGCGTCATGGACCTAATTTATGAACGTTTTATATCGACGATTAAGCACCTTAGGTTGCTAACATATTTACAGAATGGAGTAACTATACCTGAAAACATTGGAGAGTTTAAACATGTTAAAGCACACCTGAAATATTACACAATACGCTAAGCTTTCAAAGGGACTCTGGGTATATCCATCGTGACTTGTTGCGTCTTTGAGAGTTCGTTGACGAATCAACGTAACCTACTTCAACGCGTTCAGTAGTAATCAGATTCGGCTTGCTACGATCGTGATAACAGCAAGCTGCTGTTGGGGTTCTACATAGTAGTCGGCGTTAGACCCACTATTCCAAAGAAGATGGGTCTTAACTTTCGCGTGCAGCTGCACGTGGCACAGACACGAAACCTGCAGGAATACGGGTATATACAATTATAGATTTAGGTATTTAAATAATAATCAGAAAAGCAAGGTATGCACCACTAGGTATCCTCTTGACGTAGCAACAATTGAGATAACAAGGAAAATTCAAGTGACAACAAACTCAAGCCTAGACAATGCGAATAAAGACACCGTTGAAGACGAGCACCTTCGTAAACATATATGCGTATAGTATTAAGAAGACGTTCCTAGATTCACACATATCGTATTCTATATAATGCACTGTAGAGTTATAATCAACGTATATAAACAAGCTGCTATCAGGTATTTAGGATTTAGCTGTTCAACCGAGTGTACCGATGTTGTTATGGCATATAAAGAAAAAAGAACATAGTGAAAGTATTCGAACACTGCTCAAAATGAACTAGAATATATTTCTTCTATATGCAGTGCAGGTTCTATCTATATCTAAAAAATACAATTACAGTGGGTTATACACGACATGTAGCTTAATAGGTGATGCAATTTTTACCTAATCATCTTAACTTTAAACCTTTTAGACACGTGTATTGTATGTAATTTTACATATTTACTCTTTATATTCATCTATTATATGTAGTATAGGTCAGACTCAAATTGCAGTAAAGACAGGACTGGAGCACGCAAAAAATAGCTATCAGCTGACTTTTGTTTTTAATTTATTTAATGATCGTTTTATTCGCTTATTTATCACTTGCCGATCGTCTAGATATTTGGAAAAGGTATTCCTTAGGCCCGCAATCTATATCTATGTCACTAGCAAAGCGAAACAAATAAATTAAGCTCCAGTGTTCTAGTATTTGATTTGGGGAGCTGACACGGTGGCCTATATACTACCGTTCGTTATCAAAGTTTTAAAATTTTTGGTGAATCCAAGCTGCTCAGGATTAGAAAGGCGAACTTTATTAGGCATCAACTTAGCTAAGTGGACCCTGAACAGAGACGAATGCTCTACTAGGATCTGTGTAAACGTGTTAAACCAATAGGCCAAACATAATTACAATTAGGATACGTTTGTACTTATGTTACAACCTATCTTAAAGAAGTTTTATTTTGTGCTGTATTCTATAATGCTCTATAGTTCGATCAAAGGCTGTACACAAGCTCTGTAGTTTCAATTGATCTTGCGATCCAGGATTTGTTCTTTCTTTTTCGCTGTAATTACATTGTCTGTGAACAAGCTGGCTGCCGGAACAAGAAATAATGTGGACACATAGTGTTACATGCTCTAAATCAGATATTGTAAATTGGCTTTTTGATAGAAAATTCTTGGCGAATATGACTGGATGACATACGGAGAGTTCGAAAAGAAAGTGGAGTTCGTCAGTAGAGCTCTAATGTCTTTGGGAATACGTCCGCGACAGAATATCTGCATCCTGGCTGAAACTCGCGTAGAGTGGATGCTTACTGCACAGGTACGTAGTGACAAAAGAAGCACCAATGCTAGTCTGGATAGGGTATATTGGCGCTAATAGATCGCGTAAAAATAATTGTCAACGAATTTTACATTATAGCTGGCCCTAAATCGCATTGTATATTGTTTCACAATGAACGTAGGAATGTACGAAATTTTAAAACCTTTGTATGGTTTCCTTCGTCATGTTTTCGGCTGCACTTTTAATTTCTTTTAGGAACAGATACTTGGCCTTACAGGCTATCTACGCAGCGTATATATATCTTACACATTGGGTCTGATATAGCGCGACATAATTTATACCGTATATATGAACCTGTTTGACTCAACTATAGGTTTAATTATGTCCAAACTAATTCCGACGCGCCTAAACTTTAAAAGTTCTGGGTTTTCAATAGAACAGAGGCATCACAGTTTCCTAGATTCAACACGTATCTACTAAATATACAGAACCTCTTTTCGATCGGGATGGCTACACGTCGATTCCACTTAGGGCTATTTTTCACGCATATTAGAGCTTTAATTCGGCGTTCATCATTCGGTCGTATTTTCCGTTCACTTTTCTTTGGTTTGATATTTTTATTTGACCATCTTTCGCACCTCCTCGAGACGCTTTTGCCTTTGTGTCCTTCTGTTTCTAAATATTATATAAAATTATCTTTGAACACAAAATTCGTTGGAATTCGAAACGCGAAAAACATCGAAATAATTACACGTGTTCTAAGGGGCTGTATTTATGAGGTTCAAGATTTCTACCATTTCCACATTAACCAAGAAAAATTCGATTATATCGTACTAGTTGTTCAAAAGTAATGGATAATTGCCAGCGAGGCACTCAACACTCTTTATCGCTGGCTCTATCCGATTCATAAGGTAAAGTAGTAACCTCTAACTTCTGTATTTATTAAGCCTTTATGCTACTGCTATTTTATTTCCTAATGACTATTATAAACATTTGCGCAAAAAATAACCATATTCATCATGAAGGGACAATAACAGAGCGGTCTTAATGTTGTGTTTAAGTCTAAATAGTAAACGCTAATGAGGTTACTGATAATGACTTTTCTTCCGCCATAATCACAAGAGGCCTTAAAAATGCCTCAGAGACATCAACGAAACATATATTTCGTACATATTCTTTTTTGTTTTGAGCGCAGTGTAAAACGCGCTATTACTATATGCACTCTGCATCATTGCCACTTGAAAAAGCCTTAAATCGCTATATTCGACATTTAGAAAGGACAAACGATTGTGCATGCACTTGACACCTGATAAGCGGGGGCGAAAATGGGTTTCTGACAGTTTCTTTAATGCAGCATCATGACCGGACTGAATATGTCCCGTCAGTGTGCATTTGTAGATGTGTCTTGTGTCCGATTTGCTTATTCTTTTTTTTTTCTTCCCCTATATCTACTATATATCCTAGCGTAACGCTTTAGTAGCCAAAGAAAATCGAACGGCGATATTCTTTGATGAGTCATTGTGTCACACGCATAGAGTCAGTGAAAGTTCATTTCTGAATGTTAGCACACAGCATTTAAATTCTGGATCAAAAAAGGTACAAGTCTTGATTAGTCGCGTACATAATGACTATCTATTTTTATTAAAATACTCTGTCGAACTTGAAGGCATGCTTCCGAAACAATATACCAGTTGTCACATTATATCCGTCACTCGGAAAGGAAGGCCTCATTCATGGTACGTAAATCCTTTGACCGTTATGTTAGATGTTTCGTTGAACTAACACTGTTTATGATTAATAACTCGGAATCGAACTAAGTCCGTAGCGACTAGAGGGCTGTTCGAGTGGAGCTCGTGAGATTATTGTTTCAAACAATGGTACGTGAGTTCCGGTTTCTTAAAAAAAAAACTGCTAAATACATTAAATTGTCGAAAAAGTTTTGAATGTTTCTAAGCCAAAACGAAGCAAAGATTTTGTATGTTTTATATAAACCGTTATGCGCTAGAACTTTTGTGGTTTCTGGGCGAAAAATTGTGATAAGTGTTTTTTGTAGTCCTCCACTCAGCTCCACTTGGGCAGCTCTGTAGAGACCGAAACAAATGATAGTCTGATAGTGTCTGGCCTAAACGGTGCTTGTACCATTTAGCATACGGCGAATTTACCATTAAAGTTTCCAATATTTGACAAATAGTTAAAGATGTGTGTGCGGGGGCATTACCATGGTCGAAGACGACGCATTTTGTATTCAGCAGTTCAGGTGATCGATTTCTTAAATGGCCTGTTGTAATATTGTTGAATCTATCATTTGGCCAAATGGCAGTACCATTAAACATCTAATATCGCCTTATCTGGTGTCATTTTGGGCTTTTTATCGAGGATTGTGGAATGCGTCTTGTTTTTTATCTGAATATTACAATAATATGTAATCAGTTTTTCAGCTGAACCGCCGTGAAGGGCTCGATCTCATTGTGTTCCTGTAGAGTTTCTTAGATCAGTCAAGTAAGCTCTTCTGTACCGCTTTGTGTGGCACTCAACCGTTGAGATCTTTTCACAGTCAGCTTTCCTCAAATGGATTGAAACTGTTTGGTAATCGTTGTTTAGTTCTTTGGCCGTAGCAGGGCTACTCATGCGTCGGTCTTCGTAATTAGATCATCAGCTGTTTCCTCAACTGATCAATTCGCTATGATATGAACATTTCTAAAACAACGGTAACAGAATTATCTTTGAGCCATTTCGTCCCATAATGCATCCTGACAGTAAATTTATTTCGGCTTGTGCACAGTGAATTGTCGCAGAATTTTTACTCAGCTCCAAAGTGCTCGATAATAGTATGTGAGCATATCTAGTACCGCCAAATCTTAGCTCTTAGGTAGCACCAGCATCGACCGAACGTGACTTATCTCATTCGATACATGTAAATTTAAAGACACCTAACTAAAAAAACAATCGATACCTTTTCGACAGTTAATATGTGATTACTTACCTTTGATTTTTAGATCTTTTTTATGTTTGTACGCTTTTCTGTAGATGGGTTACAAATTGCTTTCTGTGATTTGTTTAAGCTCGACGCCGCAAGTAGGTGTATCGATGGTGATCAAGCCACAAAGGTTCGAATTCTTTACAATGACCACAAAGAAGATAAAGAATTTACCTTTAGTTTTCACTTTATTTGATTGTCCGATACAAATTTTATGAAACAAAACATATATAAATAGGAATTATTTACGATTGTGGCTTTTGAAGGTTAGTTGATTTTCCTCATTGCAATTTACATACAGTACTCTTGAAAAATTGAATGAGAAATTATGGAAGTTAAACGAACGTCTCTTCTGCTTTTCTAGGCCAGCAAAAGCATGTTATTTATATGGTTGCAGGTCTTAACGAGGCGGAAGTGACGCATCTGATCACTTCACAAGATCTCTTACCAAAGATCATCTCGGTACTGCTTCAAGTCCCATCGTTGACAACAATAGTATATATGGAAAGTGCTTACGATAAAGCTCCGCCTCCAACTGCCCCAAAGGAGATTCGCCTTATACCGTTTTCACAAATGGAGCAAATAGGAGCGACCGCCGATCCCGAACTCAAAGGCAAGCTGCAATAATCGTCGACTCAGTTTACACAAATGTATAAAGTGATTTAAACACAATCATCGGTCGAATTATCATCTACAGATTGAAACGTCGAACTTGGATATCACAAAACACTTAAATCTGGACAAAAATAATGCAACGTAAAATCAAACATTAAATAACAGTATTGTCCTCTTATAAATGGAAAGTTTGTTTCATCTATCAAAATATTATTACACAGAGATAGAAAAGGGCACAGGTATGTCGCCGAATGAGATGAAAAAAAAAGCGCTACTATATGAAGTACTTCTAAAAAACGACTAAGGATTTGCCCTTTGCAGGCGAAAAGCCAACTGCTGACGACCATGCTATCATCATGTACACCTCCGGTTCAACAGGAATTCCCAAAGCTGTGATTATCACGCACGGAAATGTCGTGAGCGTTGCCAAAGGCTTCCAAATAGCCCTAGTACCCGTACGTATTAAGCGAAATCTTGTAAACTTACAATTCCCGCTAAAATTATAAAATGAATATTCCAGAAATCGGCCCGTCCACCTTTCATTCTTCAAGCACCTACTTACAACAACCGAACAGGCGATATAATTATCAATTCTTCTAATACATGACTGCGCCACGCTAAAGGCTCTCAGGCATTATTTCTCCAAAAGTTTAACGAAAACTTAAAAATTATCAGGTGTCTATTACTCTGATAAAGTAATTTATTCATTTCACTAGACCTTGATAACTGCGCATATAAAGTTTCAATGTAAAGTTCAATAAGCGCATTCAACTATGATTTTTTTGCAGTTGGTCCCGAACGATACATACATTGCATATCTGCCGCTGGCGCATATTTTTGAAATCTCTGTCGAATTGACCTGCATTGCAAAGGGAATGAAAATTGGATATTCATCGCCATTAACAATTACCGACAAGTCAACGGCCATGCCACTTGGGGGAAAAGGGGACGCAACGTTGCTTCGGCCTCATCTTATGTGCGCTGTTCCATTAGTTTTGGATCGCATCCGTAAAAATGTGTTGGAAAACGCTTCCCGGAAGGGAGCGCTCTTTAGAAGATTTCTCGAGTTCGCAATCAGCTACAAACTTCGTTGGACGAAATGGGGCTTCAATACGCCCTTACTAAACAGAGTAGTCTTCAGCAAGACTCGCGCTGTTATTGGGGGCAGGGTAAGCCTTTCAAGAACACGAAGATTTCTTGGAAACTATTTTCCACCTCTTATTGTTGTCGTGATTTTTATGCTTTTTGATCTCTCACCTTCGTCTAAGTTTATTGCCGTTTATCAGAACTTTCTGTTCACCAGAACATTTCTGCAAGACATTTTGTTAGCTTTAACAGATTAAGTTTTCACCGAAAAAACAGGCATCGTCCAGATTGAGCTAAACCAATCTCCATTAGGTTTCTCTCGTAGGCGTCATCTATAAATCTCTTTAAAACTGGCTCATTATAGATGAAGGTCATATGCGCTGGCTCTGCACCACTCTCCGCTGACACTCACGCATTCATCAAAGTCTGTATTGACTGTCCCATAATACAAGGCTATGGATTGACGGAATCTACGGCTGGCGCCACTCTCATGGAACTGTCAGACAGAAGTGTTGGCCGGGTCGGGCCTCCGATTTATGGCGGATACATCAAACTCATTGACTGGCCACAAGCACATTATCACGTAACCGACAAACCTTATCCACGAGGAGAAATTCTCGTGGCTGGAAATACCGTCGCTGTCGGTTACTACAAGAACGATGCCTTAACCCGGGAGGTGTTCGTTGAAGAAAATGGATTACGTTGGCTGTATACGGGCGACGTCGGCGAAGTACATCCCGATGGCACAATCAAAATTATTGATAGGAAAAAGGTATTTAACCTTTTACTAACTGTCTTTGCGTATTCGCTTGACGATACTTGTGCGTCTCAGCGACTTGTTTCGATTCAAGTCTTTTCGTCACTAGATCCGTGTCAGCAGTTGGACGTGTTTAGAACTGCTGGAAATGTCAGTCAGCAGCTCCAAAGTTAATGGTATTGAAGTATTCAGGATCAGTAAATAAGAAATGCTCTGTCCACTCTTGCAGGATCTGGTAAAGCTACAATTCGGCGAATATGTGTCACTTGGAAAAGTCGAAGCAGAACTGAAGACCTGTGCGTTGGTCGAGAATATTTGCGTGTACGGGAGCTCTTTCCACACATACCTAGTAGCTTTGGTGTTACCAAACGAATTGGCCCTTTCGCAAATCGCAGATCAACTCGGAAAAACGAGTCGTCTCGTTGCAGAACTTTGTAACGATTCTGACATCGTTCAGGCGGCCACAGAACTAGTCATTGCACATGCCAAGAAATGTCACCTGCAAAAGGTGGAGACGCCTATCAAGGTATTTACATTGAGCAAGCATACTTCTTTGCTATATATTCAAGTGGAACTTGGGTGGCTTTTTGGGATAGATTTTTTTTCTGCGTCTGAGAACCAGGTTCTCTGTGTGCCTGTGTGTAATAAGGCATAATAAGGCTATATAATAATAATCAGGATTAATACAAACGGTGTTTTCGAAATAATAGAAATGAAACCAGTATCCAAGTGCCCATATATTTTCAACTGTTCGGCTAGGTTGCATTCAAATTTCTAAGATATACATTATCGGCACAGGGATCGGTACCATTCGATGGGAACGGCGCGGATTTCGCTAATGCAACCTCTATCAATAGATCGACCTTTTATTCAAACACATTTACTTAAGCCAATCCAGTATTCATATTTTTTGTACAGATTTTGCGTTATAATTTAAAAAATAATCTTTGTCTCAAGTATCACTTTTGTTGTGCGCATAGCCTGACGATGATGAGCGCTATGTGCATATCTTAGCGCTTTTTTAACAATATGTTTAATACATTGTATTTGAAATGAAAAACCAAATATTAGACCCTATTTTGCAAAAGTATTCGCTTAATTTCACTGTATCGGACATATATTTGAAAAATACTTTGAACGTATCGTTCGTTGAAGAGTGTCCTCCCAAGATCACTGTCGTAGTTAATAATCAGGTTAAAATCGGATTAGTTGTCACTGGACGCCGGTTTTATTCCCGTAGTAATACGTAACACCTTTTCCAGCTGAAACTATGCGCGGAACAATGGCTGCCTGATACCGGCCTCGTCACGGCTGCTCTCAAAATTCGTCGGAAAAATATTGCCGATTTTTACCAACGTGACATTGATATGATGTATGCTAATAATGGGAAGAAGTCAGCGTAATATCTGTGGGGATAATGAACCATGTTTGGTCTGTGTTGATTATTTTTGTCCAAGTCTGTGCTAGTTCCTACCGCACAATCTCTTCTAATGTCAGAGTTCTGGCTTGACCAAAGTATCATAGAGCTTCGTCGATTCGCGAAGTCTTGTTTTTTGAGAAGATATATTTAACGGTTAAGTCGGTCATATTTAACAAATCTTCCACAAAACTAGTAATTACTGATGGCGTATGTTTCTTTTACTACGATGTTGCATAGACACTACATAGAATAGTAATGATTTTAATAATTGTTCTTCTTTAGAATAAATAGGTTTGGATTTATTAAAATTAGTCGAAATAAAGATACTTTTAGAATAAATTTGCTAATGGTTTAAATAAATATAAATAGGTTTATTTAGAACCATTGCAGAACCGCAATTAGAGAATCATTCCATCCACTAATCCAATAGAAGTTAATTTTTTATGCTAAGGAAAGACGTAAATGATTTAAAATCGTACAGCACTCGGTTTGGAAGTTGTTCTTTTGAATTGAGCCCTACAACGTTAACACAGTTCGCTGAGCTATCAAACGACAACTGACTCTTAAATGCTTACACTAATGCAGTGCCGCTCCGAATCTGAGTAAAACCGAGAAACAAATCGGATGTGCTTTAGTTTTTTTTTTTTGCTTAAGTTGTACTTGATCTAATAACGTATGTCGCGCGTTATTTGCCAACAACTATTTCATTGTCTAGTCGATTATTTAAGTTTCCTTTTATTTAAAAGTTACGTCAAATGGCGGACAACTCTACCCGCCGTCCAGTCGCTTTCTTGTTTAGTTTCCTAGACACAGGCGTGACCGCAAAATATTATGTGGTCAAAATAAATGTTATTTTACTCTGAATAACTTGGAGCGGCATTTAGTCGAAAATCGGGTAACGATTACGCAATATGCAAATACAATAAGTGATTTATTAAATCTAAATATGAGGATAATTCTCATAAACTGATCTTATGATACAAAAGGCAAGTCTCCATACATGATATATGTTATATTAATTTATATAGATATCATTGTTAAGCTTATTTGGAATTATTATTGTGCACTACATGTACACTGCAATTGACATTCCAGCCACTGATCTGATCGACATTTACTTTGAATCTACAGGTGAAAAAAAAAGCTCCAATAAGAGAATCAACTGATCGTAAGAGGAAAGACAACGTAAAATAATATAAATAGTACCAAGAATAGCGCATAGCTATGATGTAACAGCACAGATAATTTTGCTGAACGTTTCCTGGTAGGGAATAGGGGAACTCGGTACACGGTACCAGGGAAACGTTTCCCTGGCACCGTGTACCGATATTCTTTCAATGACCATAAAAAAGAATTCATCGTTTAGCGAAACAATGCGATCGATTAATCAAGAAACACCTCAATAAAAATAATGTACCATTGTAACAGTGACAACTTTTGTTGTTATGTTTATCGGCTAGAGCAACCCCAGTTAATACTTGCCTTCCGTACGTTTGGTTATAAAAAAAACCAATCTATAAAATATCGGCTGAATCACTTATATTCACACGTTGACATGTTTCCTTCAATAAATAAACATGTAAATGCATACATTGCGGCTTTAACGCGGAGTAATCATTATGTTAGCTATCTGAGTACTAACATAGGCTACTACGGAAACTTTACCCTTAGAGCAGTCCCTGACAATGTGCTGCACGAAGCCTCAACGTAGCGGACCTTGTTCCGTAAGCATTGACTGGAATAGATGCTAAATTCTTATTTTATTTAGGCCATTCTAAATATATACGTATCCTATTGAAGGTAGATAATTAGGTAAATGAGGATTGCTTGGGGCAACTCTAGAACAGACCCTGATAACGGCTGAAAAGCCACCCTTGATTTTGTCAGCTTGTCTGCAGGCCAGAAATGGACAATGAAGTATACACTACGAGCGAACTTTTAGAACATCATTAAGTTGAAATTTAACTTGGACTATTATTCAATGAATATGAAACGGTACCCGGCCTGTGAAATTGTTCTATGGATATTAGTGACAGCCTCTGTCTTGAATTAGCAATCATGCGAGGGTAATAGCTGAGGTTTGATAGTTCCTTAAATAGTATAAACGTTAACAATAAGCTACCGAGCAAGATTTTACCAAGCTCATTGGCTACACTATGTTTCAGCTCCAAAAAAAACACCTTTGGATGCTAATTCTGCCAATGTCTATGACCTAAATAGTCTCTGTGAGATAAACAGTAAAAGCTCACAGATATTCAATCATACGCCCGTCATATTATTTAGGCTCGCCAAGGCTAAATACCTACAGGTACTCATTCGAGTACTGTTCATGCTGCTTGTAGATTTGGCATGCCGTATAAGGCAATGAGCAAGTTTGTCGTTTTACTAAGTTGAAAAGGCTTATTGCTTTATGTGGTGTATAGGTACAAGTAAATACTAGGATCCTAATTGTTGTCCGCTTTTATAAGTAGCTTCGTGATTTTTCGACAAAGGTCAGATGTTGTGGCAGCACTAGGTAGTTTAAGAGAGGCGATCAGATTAATAGTTTCTGAAAGATATAATAACGTTCGAAATCAACACGGTGGTGAACGTCACGGCGAGACAAAATTGAAGATTATTTTTGTCACATTGTCCTGTATTGTACGCTGCACATATAGGTCGACTATCCATATTTTCTATAGACGTGATAAACTTGATACTAGTTCACTCTAAGTAATGGTAAATATTTTGCATAGCGGTATCGTCGCCTTAAAGACTAAATTCTTTGCAAATGTTTTCGGAATATCTGCATGTGGAATGTATAATGAAATGCGTAAAGTTAAAGTGATTTCAGAAGCGCCTAAGCTGCAACATCAATAGTATTTGCAAAATAGAGCCCAAGGCTGGATGACAGTCATATTCGCTAAATTTGCCAGATGGATCTTAGAATTAATGACCGGACTATAAGGTAAAAATACAAATTTCTGATACGAAACGCAAACAAAAGCATATAAGCGGAAGATCAACGAAACTCTAAAACAGAAGGCCCTTGACCTTTGAGCGTATAATAGAATGTAGAACAAAAGCCAAAACGTTACTTTTAGGTAATATTACGCATATGCAAGCTTTTTGACAATGAAGAAGTGTTATCTATAATTTTCTCTAGCTCATACGTGAATATTATTTAGCAACGCTATTTAAACAACAAAAGGTGTCTTCAAGGAACGTAAATGAGTTTCAGAGAAGTGCTACCGCGATAAAGAAGCGTTCGACGTTAGGTAAACTCTTCGACCCCCCCCCCCCCCCCGACAGGAAGGGCAAGCCATATTCGAGAGGGTATTTATTCATACAATGCGTTTAGTGTGTCAAGCCTTCACCTGATTAGCTGTGGCTGGCGTACTGCATTATGGTGTATGGCGTGAAGACCATCTTATCGAACCGAGCTGATTCCTTGATTAGGTCAGTAAATAAAGCATTTACCCACTAAATCACGGAGCGCCAATATTCGTATTACGGTTAATAGTTGAAATTTATTATACCAAATATCTTAGCAGGAATAATTTTGGGAAACATGCTTAATTAGTAAATGACTAGCACTACCTCGATTGGGGTTACGGATATGTGCATGTAGAAAAAAGTCTACTTTTATTTTTAATGCATATTATAAATGAGTTTATGTCGCGTATAGGCCCTATAAAAATGCTGAGATAAGGTAAATGTTGAGGTTTACAAATTTTAATATCCTCTACCATGCATTTTATGCAGGATCTCTTGACCTGTTGAGAGCATCCTTTATTGTTCTCTGATTATTTGAGCAGTCGTTCTGATACAAGAAGAGCTAGGCATATTTAAAAAGCGTAAACTTTGTTACATTCGTCCATTTTATATACTGGTTACTCCGATGCAGGATCTGCACTTACGTTGAGTCCATTCAATATATCATGTGCCCTTGTACGACCCATGTAGGGTGTGATATGATTACAAGTTCTCCTCAAAAATGAAACTATGTCGCATTAAAATACATAGAGTTAACGCAACTAGCTGCTACCGTCTAAATCAAAATATTAATATGTCAAGCCGCCAAATATAACGAATAACGTGGCTATACATAACAGATAGATTATGTTTACATTTATACATTTACATTACATACAAAGAGTGTTCACTAAAGAAAAATAGAAACCCAATTCTTCAACGAATGCGATATTATCTATTAGCACATTATTCCCTTACATAGAATGTTTCTAAAAGGTACTTGTTATTATTTGGAGTAACACTTTATCCTTAGACTCCAAGCATTCTAATATAACTTGTATAACTTTTAGGCAAAGTTTAAACAAAAACACTTTGCAAGGGTTCAGCTAATTGCAAATGCATAGGATGCTTCGCCGTTCGTCACAGACAACTCTGTTAACAAAGCATCTGTTAAACAGGCAGGTGGTGCCTGTAGAAACTGCCTATCAATCAAAAAATTCGGTCCAATAATCCGACCTGATTGTTCTAGCAGTCCCAAAGTGATTCATATAGGATACTTTTACGGGCTACACAATTACCTTAAAGCACTTTTCTATAAGCCGCGTTCTGTTGTTATAGGTACCGTGTAACATTGTCTCCTCGCAAATATAGAAGGTTCGTTTTGTTTTATACTAGGTCAAATAGTATTTCGATAAGCTCTGCTTTTCGGCAATCGTTGCGTTTTTAGCTTACGAATGTTGCCAATGACTCCGCTGTTTCTTTTGTTCTAAATAGTTTGCCTGTGAGAATGATTTCCTGGCCTATTCGTAAGTTATGGGGCTTAGTAACTATTATTGGCGGTCGTAGATATTCAACTGCGAATACTTATGCGATGCGTGACAGCAAAGATCTAAATCCATGCATACGATCATGGATATTGTGGAATATAATTCACGCGAAGGTGGCAGAAGAACTGCATAATCGGACTAACTAATTAAGGGTTGTTACTGTTGGGTACTTATGAACCAGTTTTAGCCCATATCTTTCGCCCATCAGTTGAAAAAAATCGTTCTTTAGACTATTGATTCAAAAAGCTCGTGTACGGCAACGCTCAAGAATTGTAACCGTTAGGTTTTCCATCTCAATCATAAGTCGACTCGGCTTAAAATGCTTATATGTTCCTGGATTGTGTGGAACGAAGTTCTTGTTATTTTAGATATGAAATAAAGTTAGTCACAGCCTACCGATGATGTCTGTTTTTAGTGACTTTCCGAAAACGCTAAGCAGATTTTATCCAGCATATTTATATTTACTCAACGTACAATCTTTGCTGGTCGATTAAATGCGTAAAACGACAAAAGTTTTGTAGGAACGAATGAGACACACAGTGTCTGCACGGATGGCACATAACCGAGGCCAGCCTCAACGTACAAACATTTGAGAAACACGGAGATAGCGTCAGTTAGACTCTCTATCGATCTAATTAGCGTCGAGCACGGTTTGGCTTTTTCATATTACGTGACAGCGAAAAATAAAAGAAATAGAAACTCAGAAGAAAACATAGAAAGTGGCTTGGAGCAACTAGGAATAATTGTTCGATGGCTTTCTAAGCAGCCATCGTAACCTCATATCATGTTTTCCTTGCTCACACTGTCTATACGGCAACAACTAAAACATTGACTATGACATTCTATTCAAGTTAACGCCCTTTGCTTTGCTTTGCTTTGCTTATGCCCCACCTTGTTACACAAGCTTTAGGTACGAATGCCAACTAATATTTTCTATATAAAAGGTATTGCATTATATATGAAATGGAATCCACCATCCATTAGGAGAGTTCCTTTATTTTATTTGTGTGCATGTACACCATAACAACGTGAACATAGTAAAGTAGCCGGTTCATAATAAATCGATAAAGCCTGGCATACATTGAACCTCGGCTAAAATTTATTATCAATATAACTACATTCAGAGTCAGTGCAGATGCAACGTTCTCATTTATTTTTCTAGCTACAACACATTAGCCCACTTTATACCTGTGCACATGTAGAGAATACTCCAGTAAAGATGATATAACCCGATAGATTGTCATAACATTAACTTTAAGAAAATTATACTATAAGGCGCTTGTGAGATAATGTTAATCCAGTGTGCGTGTAAAATATATACAGATATAAGGAACCAACTATTCATACGTTGAAGGTAAGTTAGTTCCTTGGCATGTTGTTTTTGCCCGCATGCTGATCTCTCGTACGTTAAGTCTGCAATGCAGCATGTAAGAGCTTTGTGAGTACCTTTTTCTGTGTAGCGTAGTTCAACATAAATTTTCAAATTCCGAGTTCCATATGTTTTCTTATATCCTTGAAAACTGATCTGCTATTTTCTGGGTAACCAATGCCTCATAGGCGAAGCTTGTACGGCACATTTATGTTAGGTTTAGTTGAAGAGCAGTAAGAAAGGGTCTGGCACGAGAACAGATCCAACCATTCCCTCGAGGGTTGTAAAAACGCCTGACCAGCTATTCAGGTAGGATGAAATTGATAACGAGTGTGATGTGCAGAACATCCAAGTATATTAAACTCTATATATATACACAGTTTAAGCATCAAAGTATGATGCATGTGATTTTTCGTTGAAAAACGCATTTCTCATGGAGCTAGCTTAGAGCTCTTAATATATTCCATATGAAGATTAGTGGTATCACTCTTATCAAATATTTTTGACTATAGACAGGCTTTTTTTAGTCATTTTGAGAGTATTTATTACGAATAAGAGATTACAGTTGAGCAGGCCTTTACAGATGGAAGAGCTGCACCGAAGCGGAGTGGATATGCTGTCTGGTAACATGCGTTGTCTAGGACTTGGAATATGTATTCTTGCCGGTAATTATATTATTGTCATAAGAAATAGTTTTTGGCCTAGTCGACGGTATGCTTTGTTCCCAGTTTAATGTATTCAAACCATGGTAAATCTCGCACAATTCTAGCGAAACAACGATTGAAGTTCCATTTTAAGTCATCAGTGGACTCGACTTCGCCTTTTCAGATCGAGAAACTGTTGTTGCAGGAACGAGAGCGGAATGATTCATCACCGCTTTGGCGGTGTTACGACAGAACATTACAATTGTGTGACTCCGTATGCATCGAACGAATTATATGTGGGCTTAATTATTCAAAGGTCAGCAACCTCAGTCAGTAAAAATTATTATCAAAACAATTATATTATAACTAGCAGAGTTAACTAAACAAAAATGCTTAGTAGATCCTATATTATCCCTTATAAACCCTGTTATCTCCAATTTATTAAGTCACAAAGTTAAAACCTATAGGCGGAACTATATCTAAATGCCTAAGTAAGCAGTAATAACAAATGTATTTTACTGAGATATTTAATACATAGTATTATCAGTTACTACACGGTATCTTATCCAGAATCCATAATTTAGGATGGCTCACATATATATACAATATGCGTCACCAAAGCAAAATTATTTAAAGCTTTGGACTACATAAGAGGATCCCTTTTAATTAAGAGATTAAAAAAGGCTCAATTTGGAAGATTTAATATTATAAGATAAATTGGCGGACTTAAGTAGCCAACTGTCAAAGACGCTTTTCCTTTAGGACTACGCTATTCTAAACTCGGTACTTGATGTGCTAATGAGCCGTTTTAGCGTTGACCTCTAAAGTGATGTTTGTCAGGGCAATAGGCGATTATTTAATAAGGATATGTCTGACACATATAAACATACCACAGTTATACGTCAGGTAAGTCTAGCTTGGGCAGCTTTTATTCTCTCAAAATAAGACAAAAGCCATTGTAGGCAAGTGCTCCGTTCCGGGTAGTTTTTTTGCAAAACTTGTTCAAATTAATCGACCTTGAAATATTGACTTACTTCGATGACCCGTCAGGGCTCAGCAAAATAAAGAACTTCATTGCGAACGATTTTATAAGACCTTTCACACACTTCGAACAACTGGCCAATCGCCAATCCCGCCACACTCGGCCTAATTGTAAGTATTTTTTTATTAGCGAATATTTGAAAATGTCTATTTGCAGGAAAGGACCATATGGATAGAACGAATAGAAATAAGATGAAAACAAAAATCTGTGAAATACTGTAGAAGGCGATTGTCCTTCTATGTCATATACAATGTCCTCTGTAAAAGAGCCATAGATAATACAAGCCAGATTTTGTAATGTTGATGGTGTCTACAATAGCGCTGACGACGTGATAATAAAGAAGGCTTCTATAGCGAAAGACGTAACAAACGTAATGTACACTTCTAGATCGACTGAAGTGCCTACAAGTATGGAACTGACATCGTTCGTGTCATTCTACTGCCATGTCTGGGGTAATGCGTTACCTTTCGTCGGTTTAACCCGGCTGTCTATTCAGGTGTAAAGCAATGAAGCTGCAGATGATACATGTATATAGATTACGAGAAAACCCGTGTTAAACTATTGGTTGTGCCAATAAATAAATTTGAAGAATTTAAATCGGTAAGCTTTTAGTAAATCTTATAGCAACCTACTGACAGAGTGACGTGGGTGGTTAACATTTACCAACCGATAAACGACGATTGGACAATTACCGCACCGTACACGCGGATTTTGAAGAAGCCTAAATTTGTTCGCAAAAATTGCGTCCAGTGGTGTCAACTTTTCCTAACCGAAAATAGCTACATCAACGTACTTATTATACAGTGAACGTTCTCACGTGCTGTATCTGTCGCTACTCCTCGTTCTTACTCTGCAAACTGTTCAAACAGTCGTATTTGCATGCTACATCGATTTTGTTGCGTCTACTATTTGTTAGAATTTCATGTAGGACAGTACGTATTTAGTATATCTTTCCTTGGCGCACATTTTCGAACTTCGAATAAAAATTATAGCAATCTTCTTTTACCTTCAAATTGGGGAGCCTTTGCCACTGATAGTAATCGATACCTCTTAGTACAAGGACAGGACGCCTTTTTAGTTATATATTAACACTGATGATTCTAGTGGCAATGGTGTTAGACAAACTAGAAAAAGCCCTTTATAGGAAACAAGAAATAAGTAAACAGAAGACAGAAGTTCGATTTTATTATTGACTTATCCTTTTTATGTAGAGCGCTTATTATCAGTTATTTTCCATGTTCAGTTTTATCAGTATCTGTGAACGCAGCGTTGAATAGTCCTGTATTTTATGCTCTTTTCTATTATATCATGGAGTATTAAGATCTTTTGAATACTTCTCGATCGATTGGTATTTCGGAAAACGCGTTCATACTTCGCGTAAGAGCCAAGCTAACATTTTTATACGAAACGATTACATAGTGGCCTTAATTTGTACGAAACTAATATCGTTCAAGCAAACGCAGAAAGAACACAGGATGTTGCGGTAGCCGATCTTCCATGCAGCCGATCTGCTGGGTTGCATTCAGATTCCGTAGTATCATATAATAAGCACTCTTCGAGGAAAAAGATTGTGGTATCGACTTAGATGCAGAAACTGCAAATGCCTCAAGCAGGAAAACTTGTCTACGTCTAAATGCGATTAAGGCCTACGCGTACGATTTTAATTACCGATGAGAAAAGCTTGTGCTATTTACTTTGTGTGCATGGGTACGATCAGAATTTTGTCGGTAAAGGTTATTGAGACAACCTACGTATTAATTATTTTTTTTTAGTTATTACAAAAAAAACTATTCTGCAGGTGGTGATATTTAAGTCAGCCCAAATGTCCCCAGACTCACGAGGGGCATTTTTTATCAAAACGCATTGTACAGCTTCAGGTTGACTCCTGTAGCAACAGTGTTCGTTCTACGAAGGTCATATTTGTTCGCCTATACCATAGCCAGAGGGAAAAAAAACTATCCGAAAGCAAACCGTCGTCCTAGAGGTGAAATTCCTGCCTGAAGGTATGGTATTATCGCCAAGGGTTATTTCAGCGATCCCAAACTTATCGAAGATGCCACAGTTGTCGATGACCTTCTGACTAATAGAGCACGAGATGAGCTTTTTTTTTTTACTGTGGCTCGTTGTTACTGCAACTGATAATCGTCATTTTTGCCTACCCGGTTGTTAACTGTTAGATGGAACTTTAAATGCATATATGTACAAGTAAGCCTTAGAATCATGTTGTTTCTAAGTAAAAAAATTACAAGTCAAAGGTTCTGTTATCATGTTCTTATGAATAGAGATAACTGCGATTAAGAATGAAAAGCTGTTTACAAACACATTTTAACTTTGTCTGAAACATGAAAATGTTGTGTCCTTTTATCATTATCGTAGTGGCCGGAAGCTGTTGGTTCCGTGAAATCGTGTATTACTATAAAATCCACAAGGCGTCGTGAGCTTAGCAACACTTACATATTATGTTTGTTAAAGTGTAACATATGCATTTTCGGTGCCCATATATTCCATTTTGCTAACCCTGATTTACTTAGGATATTGGAATAAGTAAAGGAGTACTACAGCATATCAGAAAAAGCCTTGCACAATATTGCCCTAGTCACTGATGTAGCCTTTAAGCACGGTGTTTTATCAATTTTTTTACGGTCAAGGAATATCTACTTTGTTTTCATGACGCAGATTGGGACTGAGCTAAAGACATGTCCACTTGTGGAAGCTATGTTTGTCCCCGGGGATGATACAACAGTCAGACTTTTCAGAACAGTATGGCGAGTCGGCAAACGCCACAGTTGCACTGAGCTCCGCGTCGAGAGTAAAATGAGGTCAGAGGTTCGTGCGGTTATGGTGCAATATGTTCTGATGAAGGTAAATGCAATAGCTTTCAGTGACTTACGGAAAAGCTATAATAAAGCTACCAGGCTTCCACCCACACCTTGCTTTACTGGACGACGTACTTCTAGTTATATAGTTGGAGAGACATTAGCTTTTTAAAGTTATTCAGAATGTCGAAAAATCTGAATAAGTTTAAAGCTGTACATAGCAGATGAAACTTGATAAATAAATTAAGTAACGATTTCAAACTGATTGAATTGATCATCAATGGTGATAAGTTTAAAAAACATATATGGTGTAAAATCACTGTTGAGTGATTAAATTGTAAAGTCCCGAAAGTCAGGAAAGAAAAATTAATAAAAGCACTCGGCAAGAAGGCTTCCAGTGAAATAATGGTTGCGATCATTTTGAAACTGAAAATGAAGAACAAAAGAAGGATACTTAATCATTAGGGATTCAAATAGGTGAACGCCTTTGAATTAATTAGAGCACGAGCAATGCGTTCTTTATCAACTCAATACAAGATTCCTCTTAGCGCGTGTTGTCAAATCGCTACGAAAATACCTGGCAGAAAAACAAAAATGGGTTATTACAAACTGAGTCCAGGGCAGAGATACGCACATGTGCCCTACTGTTGAGATCATTTACGCAACTACTAGTAGTAAAGAAACCACTTGGACCAAATTGTTGTAGATGAAACGTGGATGAGAGAAGAATCAGGTGAGGGAATGACGTCAATAGAGAAAAAAGCAACTTCCGTGGCAGTGCCCAATATATATCCGGGTACAGTCTAATGCTGATAGCTGTAATGGATATCAAAGGAATTTATTATTACAAGATAAGCCCTGAAAAGGAAATAGTCAGTGCTGCCAGATGAATTTAAAGAGTCTCGAAGAGCGTCATGGATATGTATCGCGGCATTAACATTACGCATTATCGTTTCTCGGCGGTAATCACTGCCTGGATCAAGCAGAATGGAATAGACCTTCAAGTACAGCTTCAGTCCCCATGTAAGTCCGAGTGATTTCGACACGTTGGCAAATGGGTCACGATTGACGTAGCCTCCGATTAATTCCCTAGAAAAAGCCGTTAATAAGATCATATCGATTTCTGTCTTCAACAACTGTGTGTACGTGATAAACACCCGTCCGAAAGCTCTTAGTGCTAGCTTCAACATATAAATAATAAAACAGAGTACATCTAATTAATTATTAATGTTTCATTTTAAATGATTTAAGCTATTCAAACTTCTCAATCCGCTAAACAGCTCCGCACAACTCAATAATAATAATAATAAGCACGACTAATTATAGGTTAAATTTTTACTAAAAAAATTATGACCGAGTTTTCCGTGATTCTCGCGAATTCTACACTCGTTGGAATCGTAACGCATAAGTTAAATGCGTATAGTATGCACTAAGGTAAATCCAGAGTCTACGCTGATTTTTTTCTTATACTGCCCATACCATTCGCAGATCCGTGACATCTATATTGAGCTCAGAATGTCCTTAGAATCATACTGCAAATAGGTAAATTAAAATTTAATATTTACAAATCCTTCACGGGATCTTCTTCGTCAACAAAGCTCCATTTGAGTTCCTGAGATATGGACACGCGGTCCTATCACCGCCGCAATGAAAGTTTGCCATCCAGCTATGCTTACCCATTACAGTCAAAGAAAAATGTATAGCATTTTCGAGGCGTTCAGACATGTTTACTGAGAAACGCAAAATTTTCATGTTGCACAGAGTAGGTCCTTTCTTTTGTATGCTTTTGTATTTAATATCACATGGAAATTATTAGTAACCATTAAATAGTAGTCATTCAATTGAATATGATAACTGTGTTAGAGTTACGAGTCCTTACGACTTCCGAAGAAGGCACGATGGCGTTTTCAGGCTCTTAATTCTTTTCTATTTTAAATAAGCCTTGGAAAAGAATTGAAATGCGCTTTCATTCATATATGAAAAGTATGCTTCCGCAAAAAGTGAATTTTAAGTATTTAAATTTCATGATGTTAGCAACAAGATAGGGACTATTTTTTAAAAGAAACAATTTTCTAACGTAGATGCTTTCGATAATAAAGTGAAATGGACGAATAAAGCTAGCCCTTCATGACACATAGGTGCGCGATTTTAACAGTCCAATATCTAGAGTATTAAGCTAGACTAGACTAGTTAGATAATTTGGATCGAATAAAATGCATCGTTCATTTATAAACCAGACGAAACGGGTAAATAATGTGGTCTTAAATATAAATCGTTGCCTACACGTCGAATTAAATATCTGCCAGGCATGTCTGTGCATGGTTTTAGTCAATGAAATTTTCCGCTCATTTTTTGCCGCCTTTACGTGAAATCGCCTGAAAGGATCCAGATACCGTGTCCGCCTTGCTATACCTTGTGCTAAATGGACTTGCTTTTAAGTTCACTGGCCTGTTTTGAAAAAAAATACCCAAAATACAATTTCAACTCTCGAATAGTTAAGCTTAAGCTAAATCAAAAAATAGGCACTCGACCAACTTTTGTCGGCGAATACTCCCAAACGTTGAAGACATCACAACTGAAAAAATCATTGGGTGCTAGGAGGAATCAGGTCAAACGTTGTTCTTGCACACAACGAATATCAACAGCCGGTAAGCCATCAGCTATTATATTTTAGGACGGCAAAGTCGATGGCCACAAACAAGAAAGTCAGCCTTCATGTGATTATATGCAATTAAAGGTATCAGCAGCGTGCTATTGGCTTTGAATGTATGGTCGGGACCGAATTGTGGATGACATTAGTTTTTATTTAAGGGCTTGGAGAGGGACTGGACGTGTAGCAGTGACGCCCATACTAAAACAGTCCACTGTTCAATCAAATCAACATGATACATCACTAAGGAGCGAGACTGCATGAGTATACTCGCTACACTGATGCGGTATCCATATACTGCTTAGTAGCAAATGACAAAAATTCTACAAGTTTGGCTTATTGATAAACCGGATTTTGTAAATGTCTATACATATGATTAGCTCGGGGGCAGGTGTTTTTCTTACAAAATGAGTTAATAAAATTGAAATGTTCGCATAAAAAAGAGCTCACCGAGCATCTCCAATGACTTAACATTGATCGACGGACACCGTTTAATCTGCCTTTATTCGAAACTTTCCTCCTATCAACTGCGAGTTAAAGTGCTGCGAAGTAAAGCATTCATCCTACGCGGATTATGACAAATTTTTAAAAGCGGCAAATTTGAAATTTGATTGTATTCTAACTGGCACAAAGAAACGCCTTGGTAAAATAAAGGCGGGTGAAGATTACGAGGATAACTGTAGTTGTGTAGTAGCTCATCGCATTCGAAGCAAAAGTGAGGTAATTAATGAGCCATCGCCAGCTGCAGGTCGAAGCGTACTGCACGCGGTCGTTTCACATCGGCAGATGGAGAGCCGATGACCGAGCGATAATGTTGTTGAATATGGCGGCGGTTCCGTCTTAGCTTTCTGCTTGCGCAACGAAGCCAAGTGAACGCACCGAACGCCTATGAATAGAAGCTGCTGAATCTAGAACTGAACTATGATGAGTCACTGCGTAGCGTTCCTATTTCAACTATTACAATTATTTGAGTCATTGAAGCTGTTAGTAGTATTATTATTACCTTGGCCATCGACGACAGCCTTTTCATTCATCTAATATTCGTGTATAGTCAGGCCCTACTGGTCTGTCTTCCTATAAATCCTAACCAAAGACGATTAACCGTTTGTAGTTGCAGGTGCAACAGCAGTACTTCTGCCAAGGCGGTCACCAGCCTCGGCTCAAAGCTTCATAAAGCTGCCATTCCAATTATATGCTATAAATGTTGCTTGAATAGATTTAAGCACAACAGCACCGTTACTTTCATGCATCCAATATGAATGTATTTATTTTAAATCACAGTTAGCTACGGTGTCACTCGCTTTGTTGAGTAATCTCGAAGCTATCCAATTTCTCACGATTTAAATAAGTAGGTTAAGTAAACATTGTTTACATGCGTACGCTGAGAACGAATCCGACAGACGGTTTCCATATCGTAGTTGGGACCGCTAAAGGGCACGTTCAGTGAACATTAAACGCTTGATCACGTCAATGAAAAATGGGAAGGGTTCGTGAATAGTTTGAGACGAAATTATATGACGGCAGTGGTATAATTCATTAGATTTTGGCATTAGCTCTGCGTCCAAATGTGTTCAATTAATTGATCTGCGTTTTCTCTCCGCCCCAGTTGTGTTCGACAGGGCATCACTGTAAGGGATAATTATTCTACTTCGAAAGTTGATTACTACGGCTGAAGTGAACACAAATAGGCGGCGCTTACCTGACGCGGCAGAGCGTCTAACCCATGCTAGACGTCCGAGCCCATATGCGTCGATCATCTTGGAACCCAAAAGAATAGGACAGGGCGGAAGGCTCAGGAATTTAATATTTGTGGATATGATAGATGATGGATGTATGAATATGTCTCCCTGCTTCTCCTCGATAATCTGCCCCTGATAGAACTTCTGCTGGAGTCATGCCTGCCTGTACAACGATACCGTGGAATGCACCTTCTCCACGTCGCCCTTCACCCGTACTATGTTTGCAGGTCCTACCGATAACGAGCGACACTAGCCTTAAAGAATAAATGCGTGCTCTGACATTGGATCGACCTTCTTAATGATGACATATCCCAGGTTAGATTAGTGTCGGGAGCAGGGTTGTGAGAAATCAGGAAGAGGCTAGGAAACTGCCAGGAGAGGAAAGGGAGTTGGAGGAGCTAATATATGAAAACATAATGCTCAGGAAAGTGGGAACGGGAGATACCATTTGACGAAACGGTTCCAAATGAATGGTGATCTCAAATGATAAGACGATGACCCTTAACAGGGTATCTCATAAAGTACAAACCAAAATAGTTCAGGTCAGGTATCCTGCTCACGTACCCTACATAAAGAGTATTTGCGAAGAATGGGGCTGGAATTCGGTTATGAGCTGGAGCGTCTAAATGTGCGTGTGTATATGCCCTATGAGATAATGAGGGCATAATAATTTACCTATATATGATGCAGACAAACGTTATAAATCCAGATCTAAAAGCATAATAGCATGAGTCATTGTCAGCCGCAAGTGTGGTGTCGTCTGCACATTTTTGTTGTAACAGAAAACAACGTAGGTGACTGTCAAGTAATGTTTCGATGAAATAATGCGTTTATATTTTTTGACGTCCTCGATTTCAGCGTTACAGCGAATATATGTCCGACGTACACATGTACAGACCTGGTAATGACTTGAAATGGTTATCTTGCACCACAGGTGGGTGTTAGTTGTGAAAGGCTTGGAAACTTATTAATGTAAACATTCTCATTTAAGGCTTTAGCTAAGCCCGCTGCCAGTGGCAGAATGAGCTAATTATGAATTTCGCACTGACATTTCTTTAGAATCTTCGGTTCCAGCTATGATGATACAGCCTGTACCAAATTTAAACCACTAAAACATAGTCACGTACGATTTTAACAAAATTACGAATAGCTAGATTTAAACTATATAGCCTTAAAAATCCAAATATTGTGCTAGACTTAGGTACTGCATGCGTAATAGATGGAGCTGCGGAAATATTTTGAAATTCTAAAGAAACCATAAATATAATGCAAGGTGTGGAGGAATTCAACTGCGAGCTAAGTGGTACCAAAATTATCATCATATTGACACTGAAATGTTTCGCCTTTGACGATCGCTGTAGCTGCTCTTATCCATAGGTTTGAAAGCCTGAAACTAGAAAAAATAATCAGTTTTTTCCGAAATCGTCAACAAAAATTAGACCCCCACTTTACGTGTACAAACGTGTACCTATTTGTACACGTAAGGTGAGGTCACATTGTGTGATTGTAGTTCTCATTATGATACTGGCAATTGTTGGAATAGTTATACCGACTACCGATATCGAATAACAGCATTGTTACTCTGGAAGTCGTGCTTTAAATTTTCAGCCCGATACTGCCTTTGAGCATGACTTTAGACGAAACGAAGTGGGTCTACGCCCGGTTTGAAATTTAAATTACCACGTGTGTCTAAGTTTAAGAAGCAAACGCGTAGGCATACTGTGAATGTTGTGCTGTCGTTCAATTGCTGAAGTCGAAGCTATGGCCATTACGGTGTTTGGTCGGTGATATTTACTAACAGTTGTAAGGCCAGGAAGGCCTGTCGGGCGAGGCCGCGCACGGTCGTTGTTGAGCGGAGTCGTTTTTAATCTGATAGGAGTACCAGCTTCACGGCAACACGATGTTAGTCGAAGTTTATGCGCGGACCCTGCGCCTACTGCTGCCAGCACGATCACTATCAGCACCGTTATTGTTGCAGCGGTACTAGTAGCTACGTTTTCAGCATTATATCACCTCTCCGACTTTGTCTTTCAAGGAGTCGTTCATATGACCTATCTTGATATTCATGACGAAATTTGTTGGTTAATTTTCAAATTCAATACGTATAGATATAGATCGGTGCTTGCAGTTTCTGTTGATGGACGAACTCGCACTAGGCCTATCAAGTATATATTTGGCACAGTTCCACACACTGTCCTTTTTCAAAAAATAAATTAGATGGGGAGGGTGTTTTTGACTGGAATCGTTCTATAATCGGAGTAACAGGCTTCTTGAAATCCTCCCGAAATGTTGGCCTATATTTAGTTGCTATATTGGCCTATTTATGTTGGCCATTATTCGAGCATGCTGCACTGTTGATGAACTATTTTAAAGTAAATTGTATATAATTAAGGCATGTTATTGACAGGTAATGAGTATTTTCCGCATATTTGCACTATGGGTTTGGTGATAGCACTTAAATTGCGTATGAACACTGTTGTAATTAATGAATGAGTAGTCGCAACCTTCCAAGAGCTATCAAAATTATGGCATATAATTTAACATTCAGCTACCATTATTTACGACGCAAAAAAAACTGCGGCTCGTGACTCGCAGATTACCTAAAAGGGTTTCTTCCTGTGCCTTTATTTTGCTCAACGTCTTTGAGGGCTTCCTTGCTGTAGCTGTCTGACGATTCAAAACCAAAACTAAATAAACACGTAATCTTTAATTAGTTGCGCATACAAGCAGCGCCTAGGTAGATTACGCTAGTAAAGGATATGGCCTATTTCAACTATGGTCCACTTCTATACGACTCACACTTACATGGCATACTAGGATTTCATTGTTTTCGCGATCGCTGCTCGTGCCGTCAGATCACCAACCGTAATCTCTTTGGTCGCTAACGGCTTCTAGCGCGAGTCCAAAGTCGGTCTGCTTTAATTAGGTTGTTTTGTGTAACTTAATTTATGCCTGTCGGCCAAAACCGTCTACGATTTCAACGCATGCAGACGGATTTTCATACGTAACGATGTTCAGCTTAAGCTTGCCAACTGCTCGAAAGCAGCCGTCGACGAACATCATTCTGAGCAGAAATGCATTAAACCACGCCACTGCGATACCGGAAGACACTGCCACCCCCGAAAAATGTCCTAGTTAGACTAACAGATTTACATGAGCATTAAGTGAGTAGTCTGGCAAACAATTTCGTCCCATTTTTCCTGCTTCTAGGCCCGTTGCTTTAGCGGACTATCGGGTTTAAGGATACAAGTAGCTGACCCTTGTTTGGATACTCACCTATACAGCTCGACTGCAGGACTAAGATTATTCGAAGTCATAAAGGCAAAATCGGTGCTAGAACGGATATAAATTTCACCCAATCTGATTCAGAAACTTGTTTGATCTCAAACAACAATAATAGTAATAACAATAATATAGAAATAAAAGCTTCACATTCTTTGTTAAGCACGATGTAAGGAAAAAAACTGACATGAAAAAAGGCATTTTCTCCATTATTTAAGCGAAATGTCACCACATCACTCCACTGTACAAAACTGCTTAATTTTAAGCAAAGATTTACGTTTAATTAATGAATAGGCACCTCAATTGTCTATAAATAAAACATTTCAAATTACATTAGCACAGGAAGCCTTGATTGATCGTATGACCTCTTTTCACGTTGTCTCCGGTGTTGAATAGATTCATTTTTGCGGGTTGCATTGCTACATTTATTCTCAGTTTCAAACTTCCCATGTTTTCAAAGTGTCCTGATTGAGATCGTTTTTGTAGCGGCTTTCCACAAGAGCAAACAGCAACAGTACGACGGTCAAGAGAAGCAGATACCAAGAAGAAGCTTTGTTGAAGAGTATGTTAAGATGAAATTACCCTATCCGCTGACATCCCCTCGAATCACTGATTCCTCATTCCCCGTTGGGTCTTCGTCAACTTATCTCGTTCAACCATGTTTTCCGCACTGTTTGTTTGCATAGCACAGTCCCTGCGAAAGTTCTCTTACAAACTGCATACATTCTTCCATACGCTGTGCCCCACCGTACGCCATTCGACGAGTAGCGGCAAGGATTCCTACGAAGTCGGTCCACAAGTCTTCTATCGCTGCTACCGAACGCCCACATGAGTGAGTGAGAAAACTCTCTTCGTTCGTTTAGTAATCGCGTTCTTGGTATAATGCGCAGAAGAGTGAGAATTTTACCAAGAGGGCATCTAGCTTGCAACTAGATGTAAAAAGGAAATAGAAGCAGTTTCCTTAAAGGTTAGCAACAGTTTATCGGTACTCTAAAAGGCTAGATAGGCGTTCAAGGAACGACTATTTACGGAGGTAATCAATATGTAAATTTAAAAAAAAAAAACGGATATTTATTTGCCTGGGACAGTCGAGAACTTTCATGCCTCTATCGTTTGGGGACGTTGGGGTTAGAAAGACCACACACTTCGACCAGCTTCATAACAAGTTGCCACTTCTTTGTTTATATTAGAATGCATACGCCTTCTAACTAACGGAATCTTTAGATTTCACATTTGTTGAAGCATACAGATAGCCGAAAATACACTCTATTAATTTTTTTAATATAAACACTTGAGCGATATTAGGAAAATATCCCTTGGTATCTGCTGAACCCTTTTAAATAATTTAGAAAACCGTGAGAGATTCATCCATAAAGAAGTTTTGTTTTGGCAACAGGCGGCGTAGAACCAAAGCCGAAGTAATAAGTTTTTTAGTAGTAAGTAACATGTTTGCTATTTCATTTATAGGAGTAGGTCTTGAAAATCTTTATTTCGGGTCGAAAGTAGTAAGTAATCAATATACACGGACATGTACTTCAGTGCCCATACGAAATTCTTTATACTCTTGTTAGCTAGTTTATTTTTTATAAGTCTGGTTGTTTTACTCAACATAACCATCTTTCCTTTCTATGTATCTACAATAAAATCTCAATGCTGTATACTATATAAAATAAATCTATCGCACCCGTTTCGTAGCGAACCCACTCTTCGCGTTCGTTAAAGGACCGTTCTTATTCTGTCACGTAAATTCTATAATGAGAAAAAATGCTACACACTATTATAAATGCACACAGTCTTTAGCATCAAAATGGAAACAACAAAAGCGTTTTTTCTTGATGTACCGCTGTATACAAAGGCTTGCCACGCTGGGCTAGATGCACCAACTTGGGACAAATGTTATCTGTCATAGCAAGTTTCGTGATATAAACACATGCTTACTGGAGCCGTAACGCAAAGTGTGCGAGTATTTGAGTCTACGCGTAACGGACCAACAACTGCCCGAAAGATAAGGAAAGCGACCACGATGGCAAGAAGGAGGAGGGGGAGGAGGAGGCGTGTGTGCGCGGATCTTAGACTCAGCTGCTTCTCTAGAGAATGCAAGAGGGAGGCGTCTAGCACCATCGTTCATTCTCCCTTGTGGAATTCAATTATACGACCGTCGAACACCCATTTCTCCTGCGTGGCTCTCCGCCTTCAACTCACTTGCCTATCGCACAAGACTACCCCTATCACATCTCGCATAATATCGCCTTGATCCCCGTCAACTTCTATCCTTCTACCCCAGCGCGTTCTTTTTTCTCGCGCGGGTACTATCATTTCCTGTGGGTACCACAGGGACCCTCTGGAGCAGTTCAAAAGCCCAACCATAATAGCACAGACCACTACCCTTGACATCCCGCAGCGACTGTCTTTCTGTCGCAATGCTTGCGAGCTACTTTGGCATAAAAGCTCATAGTGCTTATCCTATTAATATTAAACGAATACGTTCGCCTCGTTCCCACAGAAAGCGACAAGTCTTGTTTTAGACAGTCAATCTTATCAATCTAGGAACATCTTGAACCGACACACATTTTGCCGAATTTACTCCCTTCTTTTTATTTTCTAACAGATGATTAGAATTTACTACTAGAATTTACTACTAGAATTGCACTACGATATCGTGAAACTGTGTCAAATAGTGTGGTTATTACTGAGAAGAATCTTTAAGAACCAAATTGGATGAATTTTGGGCTTTGTGCACGGCCTAAAACGTGGATACGCAGTTACTGGGAAATGTTTATTGACGACTCCGTACATAATTCTAAGAACATTCACTTATTTGTAATAAGCTATCCGGTCTTAAAAATTTTATTTTTTGGCGGTATTACTGGTGTTTGAGCCCAGGCTACTAAATCGTTAATCGATCTTGTTACAATTTCGTCATTTTCTGTAAACGTTCATCAATTGACATCATTACAGCAGTGTCAAATACCACAGCAATCAGAATAATCTAGTATGTTTCAAAACGTTCGAACTCCATAAGCTGTATAATATCGTGTGGGTCCTTAGTCTTGTTTAATGGTACCGGCTTTTTTTTTTTTAGCAATCATATGTTTTTTAAATCTCGTCATAAATGAAAAATTATGCTTGTATTTACTTATATTTAAGCCCTTAATACTATGTACAACGGGCGGTATTGTCGACAAGCTCTAATTGCGCTTAGGAGGAAATATTTGCGGTAAAATTCGGCATAGAAATAGAAAGGTCGCATCGCATTTACTGAACTATGATTTTCCACCTTCATGCACTTTGTGGATAGTCATTTGTAAGAACAGTTTCTATTATTTTCTGATTGCTAAGACTTTCATATGATTCTCTATTCACAGCGTTTCCGGGCAGATGGCGCTTTTTTAGATGGCTTGCTACAAATGCGAACTTCTCAAGCTACTCTTTAGGGCAGGAGGAGTTTCTACGTGGACATGGGATCCGTTTTTGTTTAGCTTCCCAACGCAGTTGGGTTTATTAAAACCTATTGACAAATTGTCAAATTACGATCCTGAACTTTTAGATACCATAGGGACTCGAGTGTGTAAATTTCAATCATTCGGAATTTAGGCTCTTTTTGTGAGCCCAAGTTTGTAAAAGCCTCCACTACATCACCCTATCAGAGCAATTTGAGTCTACTTAGCACTCTCGACCTACGATCTTGACAGTGGCCGTCTACTAAATCATGTCATATATACTGTATATCCAAAACGGAAAGCATCTATGTGATCAAAAATAGTTCTATGAATTAATAGATTTTTTCTTGCTGAACTGGCCAAAACGTTACTGCTTAGATTATCGTAATCTATCATATATCACATACCATATGTGGAGCTGAGTGAAGTGTTTGTCAAAGATAATGTTTCTTTTCCTTTTTCCAGTACAAAAAGCACATAGCAGATCAATGTGCGTAGTTCTATAATTTATCCTATAATTACTAATCTGTTAGTTAATTAAAGCTTCTCTAAACAAATCATATATTATTAGAGCTTATCTGAGTTGTGCAACGTTAGGAGCCACGTGAACACTTGTATAAAGCTCGTACAATAAATTGCCAACACCAAAGCTTTCTACGATTACTAGACAGACTAGACAAAATTTCTTAACTCTAAAATATTTATTTTCCAAAAATTACCTCCAAAACAAAAAATGTTGCCTTCAATTCTGATTCTAAAGACTAACATAGCCAGTGGTAAAAACTGAATTTACAATTCGTCTGTCAAAATAACCGTAGGTGAATGTCGAGTGTACGAGTATGGAGCCTACAACTGACGGTGCTAACCAAGTTTTTTTTAAAACGTGTTTTTCACGTGTTTTTTTAACCTTATTTTTTTTTGACCTAAAAAACACATTTGTCTGAGCCTTTCAAGTTTCACAAAAATGACTACAAGCCATTTTTTTTTTAAAACAAATAATATATCTAGATATAACGCCTGCATCGTACGCCAAATAATCTTCTGTATTACTCCTGCAATTCTTTAACATTGAAAAAATTGCTTTTATTTTAACACAACGTACTCGCCACAACATAAATCCAAAATAGTTTTTCGTGATCTAGGTAAAACGATAATAACGGCCTTGTAGGTTAACGGCCATCGGTGCTATATGTATGACCATCAACAAACGAAAAAAGCGAAGCTCAAAGTAAAAACTTCCACGTCCCTCCGAATACCTAAATAGTGCACATAACCCATATTGGAATTCAAGAACGAATGCATTGTATTTGTACATTCAATTATAGAATAGATAAATTTGATTTTAGATTATTACACATAGTAGTCATGCGATAATTCAGTACGCTTCGCGATTCCATAGATGATTACAGAATGCGTTTGTTATCAGATACCGAACAAATAGCCTATCTGATCATATATCTGTTCCAGCCTATGAATCATCTTTGTAAGAAATCTACATGTATATGATGGCTGTTGTTCCTAGCTGGCCCCAATCGCTCGCTTTAGTTGTTTTTCATGAATGAACGAATGAAAGAGCTCGTCCGCCGAAAGTTGACCCGCGTCACAATGCGAATCTTGTCTAAATGTCACTGCCCGCACCCCCCTTAGCAATCACTACTTGCCCACATTAACATCTAATCAAACATTATCAATAAAGAGAAACTTTTCGCGATGCTTGATACGTCAGTTTTCCACCCAATGCGCCGTAACTTTACGTAATATTCACAGTACTTTAATGCTATTCGCCTGAGATACTTTCGTCGACGCATAGATAGCATAAAAGCTTAGAGATCCGTACTCCGAGTACATATGACAGGACAGCCATGCATTTTTTTTTATTTATTTTGCTAAATACAATAGCAGTTATCGGTAGAAACGAATAAACCTTTCCTTAAGTAAAACTTTGGACAATGCAGACAACAAGCGTATACAGTAGCCTAATTTTTAAATATTTTTGGCTCTGTGTCACACATTGCGCGCAAATAAACACATTTTGTATAGAATAGTTGTTTTCACACCTGTGGATGTATTTGCAGGGTAACGTGGAAAAAATGTTAGATAGAACCGGTTTGTATATTCCTCGCCACTCGATTTGAACCGCTGATGAATTCAACTCATAACCTATTCGTAAATATTCGCTCTGATTTTCGTTTAGATGTATGTAGTGCTGCTATGAGGGGTCAACATTCAAGCATAGATATACGATTCCCTTTACGATGTTAAACAAGTCACTCTGGGTCACCCAGACAGAGCGTGAGGTGACAGTCTTTACGTGAGGGGCAGGTCAATGTCGAGGTCTCTTGTGAATAGCCGTTGAAGGCGACTCGCGCAACGCCACAAGTACGACCTATAGGAATTTCCTAGCGAAGCTGACGCGAAATGGTACGAGGATGGGAGATGCGAGAAAGGCGTAATATTTCGAATATTTTGGGAAGTCTCTGAGAAGATCGTGCGAGAGAAAAGGAGACCGAGTGAGTAGCCATAGTAGAACGCAGCGGGAGCGCGGAAGTGAGAGGGAAACGGTGACGGGGGGAAGTGTAAATGTTTCACGCATCTGTGGCGTTGAGATAAGTAGCGGCATCAGCTAGCGCTAGAACTTGCGTTAGGGGTGACATGGCCTGACATGGACGTAAGGGAACACCATTTTAGATGAAAACCAAAGCGGGAGAAAGCAATGCCCTAGTGTGGAGCGGAGCAGATCAGAGAGATGACTGCGGAAAGACTAAAGCGAGCGCTTGAGGTTTCTAGTGAAAAAAGAGACTACGATCGACGTTCCAGCTGCCTGCTCAAAACGAGAACGACGTATCTGGGCCGCGAGTCGTGCTCGGACACACATAAACGCAAGCAGGCCCATGAATAGTATGCAGCACGAGCATCGTACTAGCTTGCCGTACTAAAGAACTTTCAATACACTCGCTAGAAGATTGAAGGCGGACAAATGTAGGCAATGTAAACGCCGCGCAGTATGCATCAAGCATTTGACTGCACAGACCGCTTCAGCCTGTCTGCGTGTTTGCCTGCTTGGCTGAACCCTGTTGAGCCTACGTATCTCCGTAAGTACGTGTGTATGAATATGTGTACGGCCGTACCGTGTTTGTGTAGAAAGGACCCTGGAGGGCGGTGATACTCACGAAACATGAGGCGCCATTACCGTAGAGAGAAACAGAGACGGGGTGGGACAGTTGTATGGTAAGGGACGGTGGTGGCGGCGGCAAACTTTAAATGACAATTATACGAACCATTTAACGCGGGCTAACGCTGTCTTTTCTGCTTCGAAAGGGCGAGGCCTCATGAACTTGGGGTGACAGAGGAACATAGTTGGTAGGTGTTAGAAACCAGCGAGAAACAGTCAAGGAGTAAAATAGCACCCAAGAAGATTTGAGCGTTAAAGCTTCAGCCGCGCTGAACTGACCGAGAGCATGGCTAAGGGTAGCCTACCATGGTAGAGAAAACAGCAGCGTTTAAGCTTGAGAGGGACATACAGAAACGGCAGTAGAAAGATACAGTAAGTGCTAGTGGAACTTCATAACGGTTAGGAAGCGGTCGGGGAGGGCGAAGCAAAGAGGAACAGGCGAGAGGTGGTGCCACTGGAACGCTATCATTTACATGCAGGACGGATCCTGTGTCCTTCGCAGCGAGTTCGCCATGCATTTGTGTTCCGTAGCAGGCGTATTCGCAGTGGCGAAAGCATACTGCCGTACGTCAGGAGTCGTATGGAGGCCTGCAATCCATGGTTTTATCCACAGTCGCTTTGGATCCTTAGCTGTGACATAGCACTTCAACCAAATTGCCTTCCTGGGATATTCGCGCACACCGTTTCTCGTACGGATCGAGACGATGTGGCAGTCAAGCGGGGCCGAATTAAAGTCATTATGTTGCCTAGAGATTAAACTAGTTTTTGTTTTTCCTCCCCTATTTCTGCATTTCTTTCCCCCTTCTGATACGGTTTTATTCGGTCGATTTAATTAATGCGCCGTTTCCTGCTCGGGCGCGCAACTCTCCTGATTTGACCGCCGTCTTTGCTTTTGAAGTTAGAATACTAACTCGCACGTATGCTTTCCTCTACGCTCCAACGAGCTAGCGTCGCCCGGCATTTATTATACAATTATCAGTATAGCAATGATACTAAAAAAAGGCAAAACAATTAACAATGAATGTTATTTGTTGAATAGGAGAACATGGTGTTATTAGCTTGCAATACATGATTTGTTCAATGGGAAACAACGTTAAATGTGAAAGGTACTCGCACATAATAACAGTGACAGTTCAAAGCGTGATTTCAATGTATGACCGTTGCGTGCGCACGTAGCTGTTCGCAAAGTTTCACTGAAAACGCGATCTAATACGTAATCAATATTAGAGTTACACTTAATCACAAGGATCAGAAAACTGGCAAACTTGTTCTTTTTATAGAGAACTGAATAACTATGTAGGATCAAGCCAATATGTTTGAGAAACGATAGAACTCTGTTAAATCGATTGTAAGTGCATAGTACTGAATGTTCTATCTATTAAATGCTTCAATAGATGTCAAGTTATTCGTTTACTCGGCATTAAAGCGAACCGTACCATTAGAATTTTATATGCCGTGCAATATCTAGATTTGTAGCCTTTTATTCGTAGTGATTGTTGCATCGCATTATTGAGAAACGGAAGAAGTGTGTCTCTTTGAATTCTCTATTTTCATAAACAATTCTTTATGGGCTCCAACTATCATTAGCTTTCATATTTAGGTAGGAGACCGCCGACGTTACCTGAAAAAGTGAATCATGCTTAGTGGACTTTTATATTATCACTTGAAAAGAGTGTGTGAAATGGAAAAGTCTTCTCGTTCTTATTATTGTCCCGGCCTAAGATGCCGGTTCAAATACCTAGGTCATAAGTTGCCCTTTGCGACAGATATAATTATGCCTGTAATACGTGAAATATAATGTCTAGAATATATGTAAGTTACAATCATTCAAATGAATCATACAATCTAATCGTCCCTTCCATCACATAACGCATAGGAATCATAAAATACCTGCAAGTTTTATGGACAAATAACTGTAGTAGACAAAGTTATCCTATTCAAAGTAAACAAAGTCCGCTAACAATTTCTATCGGTTTTGCTTAAAAAAAAATCGTTTCTGGTTCTTATATTTTTATTGTAACCAAAACTAGTCTAATATAACATTGTCAACTACGACAGCTGCTTCGGGGCCGACATCAACCACGGCATGCATTTACCATGAAGAGTTTTCACATGATCACGGTCATCCTTAGCGTAATAGCAATAATAACAATGAGAATATCAGCAATAACAACCGCATCAACTTCGGACACAACAGCCCACGTCAGCTACCGCAGTGTCTGAGTCAGTCAGCCCCACAGATGACCATGCATAAGATAGATAGATAGATAGATAGATACGCACACGCTCAGGCAGATAGTCGGAGTAATAACACTATCTGCTACCATAAAATGCTAATTTACTGCATAGCATCATTCGCAGAGTCTGTACTTCTATGGGCACGTTTATTATTCTGGCTTATCGCCATGAACTTTTGGGGGGAGACGCCCCCGCGCACGCACACACGGACGCTTATATACAAACACATTGAATGGTGTTGATGGACCCATTGGGAACCTAACAAAATTCATAACAACGAGAAAAAACGTTGCAGTTCGTTTTATATTTTAACATTATTATACATGTAATGCAAGTTTCGAAGTGAAGCTATATTGGTCGATTGTGCTGAAATGTATAATGCTGTTTAGATGAGCCGGTATACATATTTAGATAAACAGAAAAAGAAGAGAACATTTAGATGAATAGAAAAATAATTACAAGTAGAAAAAAACGCGGCATATGTGAGTTCTGTATGCGTCCTTACATTTTAAAGTGGTTGGAGGTAAAAAAAAAGACAAAAATTGCAACTTTAAAGTGGAGTTATACTGTAACTCATCATCGTAATAAAAGTCGCTGCCAGAAAAACTATTTTCAGTACTTATTTGTAAGAACTAAAATTTCTCAGCACCAAATACACGTGCAGATCTCAGTAATTTGTGTATCACCGTAGGAACCAACTTCAAATATCTGGCGAATAAGGGCTGTAATGTTATTTACGCGGGTTAAATTTAACTGGACGCTGAGCTAAAATCAAAGTTCTAAATATCTGTTAGAAGCTGAACCCCAATGGACTAGGAGTGCGGCATCCCACTGTCCCACCACCAACGCAGTTTATAATATAAGGCTGTATAAAAAGAAATGCATGGAAACTATTATATCAGACTTCAACGCGTACTTTTCGGGGAGTCATAGTAATGACTGATCGGGTCCATGTGTCCTTAATTTTATCAATAGGACTCGAACATTGATGTATAGGAATAACTATTTCTTTAACCACTTGTCTCAAACCTTTTTGATGATATTCAGACGATAAGCAAGCAGAAACTCCTACCAACATTGTTATTCAAAGCATTTAGCGGGTATCTTACTGTGTACCTCACATGTTATATATCAGGCGTTTGCAATAGGAGGATAGTCATGTATTTTCTGTACTACACGCAGCTAGTACTAGCCGGTTAAATGCCAACCACGGTCTACCGCAAAAAAGACCACTCTCTTTTTGCTGTTTTCCTTCCTCCTGAGATAAACGTCCGCTCGAGAAGTTTGTTGAGAAATGGGAATAAACTTCATAGGCCTCTGCACTTCTGCGTTAATTTTTGTTAGATTAATCGTTGTCATGCAGACTCAGTAATTCTAATGGAGGCATTGACTTTTCACACAAAAGAACAGTAACGTACAATACGACAGGCCTGGACACACATTGTTTTGATGGTTCAGCGTTGCCAACTAGTTCATCCAGCTCAAGGATTGAAATTCTGTTTATTTTCATGCATGAACAGAATTTATGACTATTTTCTAATATAATCTTTCGCATCATCGACAAAGCCGCATCAATCAACCAACGCCTTTTCAACAGAAGCATATACGACATATGTACATTCATTGTAGACCGACATTCTATGCAGTCCGTTTTAAGTTTTTACGTTGGCTAGTAAGCGACTTCAGATATTTAGTTGTTCTTACAGTTACGTCGCCATAGTTGTTGCCGTACATATCGGAGCAAAGCAAATAATAGAGCTTAACTCGAATTAAGTTAGATGGATTAGACGTAAGTGTCTTGTAAGAAGATATACGACTTGTTGGTTTCCGTATGTCGATCGCTCATAATATAATTAATTTCCTTCAACATTCTATAAAAACTAATTGAAAAGCGTTCGGCTATGGGTTCGCGGTCAATGGATACGTTCCGAACTGGATTGAGAGGTAAAAAATAGGAGCAGTCGCTAGCGGTTGGCAAAGCGAACAAATGTATTTTTTGAGTATTTATGAGTGCTCTAATTGTTATGTCACTGATGGGTTTATTTATCATTAACGATTTACTAGAAATAAGATACATTGCTCTATTGGCAATCGTATTTATTAGTGTTGTCATTTAGCTGTTGTTGAGAGTCCTAATAGGGCTTTAAATAGATCCTATGTGGGGCTGGACTAAATCAATTATTCTCGCTTCCCAATTAAAGTTACGGGTGAGTGCTGCGCTATATGTGACAGTGCAAAAAAAACAAGACAGTCTTAACTTGCTATACGATTTATGCAGATTGAAGCAACCAATAAGTCGCAAGAAGGTAACAGTGTGACTTTGTCGTTACAACCTGTTCTCTCATGACTATTGCAGTCCGATGGTGTCTTAACCCGTCACAAACTAATAAATATAAGTTTAATTACTAGTCACAGATACTGATTCTGTGAAAATAACAAAAACTCTATATTTTCATAGAGCCTATAATTATTGTCTATCATTTGGTTCGGTCTGTCTTGATACGTTAATGGCGCATAGTTTACTAACATCGCCTGTCTGCGTCTTGCACAGCCTTCTTTTGTAGGTATCCAGATTTTCAGCCTGTACCTTAAGCTAAGCTTTATGACGCCTAGTAGTAATAATCACCTCACTCCGATGTACGACCGCCCTTTCTGACAACAGACTGTACAGGCTACTTCTTCTCCAACTGTAACCCCCAAGTCAGGGAACGGATTGTCAATATGCTATACTTTTTCAAGCGGATCATGGTTTTAAAACAGTTATTAATCAAATAGTCATTACAGAACATCATATAAAAGTTCGTTGTCATAACACTAGTTTTTTTTTAATGGAAATTAAGAAATAAAGTATGTATTTCTTATTATTCGATTTCTTAAACAGACACTCTTATTATACAGTATATAAGTTACAGATAATAATGAGACTGCCTACGTAGTTGCAATTATGACTGTGACTAACGATGACGATAACGAATGCGGCATTCGTTCGCCTTGAACACAAAGAACGGAGTGAACCGGGTTGCCCGCTATGCAGCAGTGTAGAATGATAATTTTTCGCTGAAGCATAGATATTTTGTTACTATATTATTTGTTATTATACCTATTGATATTAATGTAGAAAAATGTAGCAATAAGTTATCGACATGACTATTCATCCATTGTTTATAACATTACTTCAGCTTATTTAATCCCTGAATCAGCTATTGACCTAAAAGCTGGCTCTTCTAAAGCACGTTTTACTCCAACAAATCGATACGCTGTAAGAAGCTTCAATGAGCACCCAGTTAACGTATCCTCATGATTGACCCTGCTCGTCTATTTTGTTTTTCAGCCATATAAGCTGGCCTCATAAGAAATCGCCCAGACAGCTAAAATTCCGTGTATGGTAATCTCTTCACCAAAATAAACAGGGAGCAATGCCAATTGCTCTCTGTTTATGGTGGTCTAAAAAGTGCGGGAATCGCCGCGAACTTTTCGGTCATGCGAAACGTATTGGTAAATATTTGCTTAGGTAAAGAATAATATTCGCTTACTTATTTTCCCAACCGGAGGAACAAAACATTAGCTTCAGCGGAATGACAATTCTTGTGTTCTCAAATTTGCAGAGTTCTCTTCTATCTCCCTAGTCGTAGCCAAGGGGAATATTAAACATGAAACTGAAAAACGAGCCTCAACTTATTGTGTAAAATTTGTCACCTTAGTTTTAAATGATTTCTCTACTTCTCCTAATGCTCTCTCATAAACAGTCGGTAAAGCTGCGTAGATTATAATTCGACAGCCTGCACGAAAAGTTTCATGTCCGGTCTTAACAATTCAAGCCAGCTTTACTTCGACCACTAGTACTAGAACTGCAAGATAGTGTTATTCATTGCTGATGACAGAATTTGAGATTGCCATTAGCAATATCCTTACGTAAAATATCTATACTTGTATAATTTTATAACCAACTTAGATACTTTTTTGTATATAATGTCACACAGATAATAGCCCAACTCTTTCAATCTGCTTTTTAGTAGAGTTGCATAAACATGTGCTCTGAAAAGCATCAGCAGTCATCATTTAAAAGCTACAAATATCAGCGCTTACAATGAAGCAGTATATTGTTCACTCAGTTTCGGCCACAGGGAACCAACCCTTTAGCATGTACGTGCATTAAGCACCATACACATTCGAGTGAGATATCCATCCGATAACTTGCTAGGAGTCGTGCAAGTTCTAAATCATGTAGCTGTCTTCTCCCATCCAGTGGTTGTTTATGGAAGCTATGAATGTTCTTACGTACAAACACGGCTAGAACATTCTTACCAGATTGTACGCAATAAATTTCCAAGGTTGAATAGGCCTGCCATATTATGTTCAATACGCACGTAAATACATAGAGCTAGTAGCTTGTAACCTAAAAAGCGAACGATCCCTCACGTACGAAATGTATTAGTCGCCTGCTCTATTACACCCTGTTCATTAATTAATTTAATCTCCTTTGTAAAATAAATTAGTTAAATTAGCGATACTGGCACTGTCACCCCTTAGCGTGCACGTTAGCAACTTAACTAGCCAACTGGGCTTAGCAAACGACTAACATTTCGAGTTTTCAGATGCTATTATACAGCACATACACCATCACACGTACCCTACAGATTCTCGGAGTAGGTTTCAGCATATATAAAAATTAAAATAATTCCTTTGAATGAAATAAAACATCAACAGTCAATCATATAGTAAGTTAAGAAGAGTTACATAGAGCTTTGGGCTGAAAGCTGTATATATATATATACGTATAGAGAGACTTTCAAGTTTCAAGATCAGAAGTTAAGATTAAAAATGTATGTCGGTTTTTTCACCTAACAAGCAGTATCTCACTCGAAATCTAGCAACAAATTATTTATCCTGTATTTATCGTTACTCTCTACAACCTTCTCTCATCTGTCAATTAATTTATTTATTTTCTGTCGCCAAAAACATTCGCATATAGTGTTGAAGACCTTGTCTAATCAGTTTTGAGAGAGATCGCCTTCATGTACTCTCACAAAATTTATTTCTCAGTAATTAATGAGGATGGAGATCATCCCGAGGGATGTCTACAAAATATGGTGGCATAAAAAGAACCTACCACCCAAGTCCTCTGACGGTGGTTTTAGTGGCTTTTTCCAAATGTGATGTATCACTGACAGGAAAAAGGACTTTTTTGAGTTCGCTTTACTCTATACAATTGGCCTATAATGTATGAATTTCTGTGGACCGATCTGTTTTCTCAAGCGTTTGCTATTGTACGAGACTTCTTCAGTTTTCCAAACTTAAAGCGTCTTTTTAAAGCTATATCTCGAAGCTACTTATCGTCGAACAACCATTTAGTTAAGAAGATTCACTTCGAGCCGGGATTCATGGAGCAGCTAAAAAGTAAATTTGATTAAAAATAATTCAATCATGGCTGGCCTATGGTCTTGCTGTAACGACACTAAGTACGCATTTTGGTGTGCTTCCTCCGTTATTGAGTTCATCAACTTTTTGTGGAAGAATTGTCCTCGTAGCTATTGAATTTGAAACTCAATTAGAGCTTCTGGCAAAACGTAACCGAGCATTTTTGCAACAATATTCCTATCTTGGATATTTTTAAATTTGTGTTTTTAGTATTTTAAATAGATTTTAAATGGGATTTTAAACTCTGAGGTCGTTTAGTATGGTGAAAAGTTCTAATATGTGGAAGGAAATGGGTTTAAATTGACGAGTGCGACCCGGTCTGGCTTAGCTTAGAAGCTCCATTATCTGGCTTTGACCCAAATCTGATCTATTATATCGTAATCCTATTTTTATCATCTGTATTATTTTCTCGATTTGTTCTTATGTATATATAGATATATATGTATAAAATGAAAAAAATATATTAAGTATCTTAATGTTAGCATAATAAACCACTTGACAGACTAAAACAGGTAAAATGCTTGATGATCACAAACAAGCTATACACTAACCTAATGAAAATTATGTGACGAATGCTTGCCATTGAAAGCCCTGTATCGCCTTAAGTAACATCAGTCGGTCGAATATTTCAAATATTCTGTCAGCAAAGTTATTCCCGTGCAGTTTATAGCTGTCGTTTTTACAGAAACAATGAATAAACCGAACTACGTTTGACTAACCCTTAAAATCTCGCTTGAGACTTGAGTCTTAAATTAAAATTCTAAAGCAACTTCTGTTTTCCATGTTGGGTAAAACAGGTTACCAGGTGTCAAAGACGCCCGAGTCAACTATAAAATAATAGTGTTACAAGGTATAGTGTGTTTAAAAGAAATAACCAATGATTCCATTTGAGGAAAAGGGGCTTGTGATCCTTCACAGACATGGCCACAACAGAATACATGTACGTATTTATAATCCTCAATTGCATTAGCAGTTTTAAAATATTCTTCCACCCGGTAATATCGGGTAGTCTTCAACTGTAACAAATGATTTGGGTTCAAATATATTTGAGACGTAGGTTCTTCGCTCCGTTGTGATAACCTTGAAATAATGTTTTTATCACATGAACATGCCATCTTTAAATAAATAATTTAGATCGCTTTATGCCTAAAACGTAACAGAAATGTCTCAGGGCTGCAATGAAGGAAAAAATAAGATAATTATTGTCCTCATTAAAATTAGATTCTTGCCAAGGTGGCCATACTAGTTGAGTCACTTTCGGGGAAATCAAACGCTATTCCTGTGACCTCCTGCCACCTAAACTTGTTCCAATAAGTTCGTACCGGTATATAAACCCATATACCCGGATACATTAGTGGTGCTTGTAAACGGTCATGTAAATCGAAAGAACTACGCACGCCAATATAAGAGGACGACATGGTCAACAAATAGAATGGTATAGCTCTACAAATGCTTTGTAAACCGACTGATATGGTGTCCGTCAAGGGGACGGCAGGCAGAGCTAGGATACGGGTCGCTAAGCCAGAAACTTTGTTGCAGGACGCGTAAGAAGCTCGTAGATTCTGACAATGGCAATGGACCGAGAATCGTAAACAGCACAAATATCTAAGAATTGGTAAGTATAAAGTTCTTCCGTAAGGTCACATCAAGGTCAGGTTAGCGCCGATAGGCGGAACGCGGGTCCGGGTTCCAGAACTGTTCAGTCACTGCGGGCAGTCATTGCACTAACTGCGACCTTGGAACTACTTTATTCTTTTACCTGCCAAGAGAGAAATAACATTATCTTATGTACTTTAGTAAATAAATACGCCATTATATTTAATGTATAATCATTTCTTTACTTTAGTGACTGCTTTAACGTGTCATCCTTAAGGCGGGTTCCTAGTTTAGTAGTTCCTAGTTAGTAAAACAACTCCTTAATTAGTTTGTTAGGACTAAACCGCTAAAAATTTGAAATCTGAAAGCTAGTTTGACGTACGGAAATACCAATATGTGTTACCATATACGTACAGCATGAACTACATAAAAGGAGATCGATCACTTCGGCATTTTTATGCCATGTATTATTTAAAGAACCACGGAACGCAATGAATCTATAGCCTTTAACTATTATTAGTGCTTTCTTTTGTCTAACAAATGCTTCGATACTTATTACAAAGATAGCCCAAAAACCAAATAGCGTAAAAATGATGAACATAATAATAACATAGGTTGCTTTTAATATACCTTGGTCTTAATAGTATTTCTAAGGTAACAAAATTTTCCGATTGATGAATGTATAAATAATGAATTCAGATCTAACAATATTTACAGCAAATGTACTGCGAGAAATTTCTAAATCCATTTCACGGGACGAAATTGCAGAAAATAACTAAAATAATAACCTAAACACTGATTAACGCTGCTGCGTAATTTTCTATTTAATATACGGCTACACGATGTTTTTTTCTGAACCACACACTCCTCGTTGTACAATATAGAAATATTCTATAGTTCAGTTGCAAGCTAGTTTGGTTCTTTTTTTTTTTATTTTCAGAGACCAATTACCTACAGTAAGGCCTTACGGTCAGTAACTTGATGGAACCAATCAGAATATAACTAAAGGCTGTAATGATATTTGCGAACGTAAAGTAGGGTGATTTTTGGATAGATAAAATTACTTTAGCCAAAATCTAACTTAAAACAGTCGCTGGTAGATAGATCTGCGGTCCTGCTAACAGCAGCTTATTCGGAACAGATAGTAGCTTTTATAACTTAACCTGTTCTTCTTACCTGCTACGTACCATTTTCCTTCGAAACTTTTTTCTGTGAAGCTCGACTTCGCCAATATTAATTTTACGCCGACGGCTTCGTAAGAAGCTTATTTGGTTGAAAAATAAGAAGTATTATTTGTTGTTGTTGGCTTAAGATGTGCCTGAATTTTGGTAGTGATTCAAATTGGTTTAGTGACTTCGCATAGTTCAGCAATGACACTATATTGCCAGGTGATTTGCAACGAAGAAGTTGAGATGATGAGCGTACTTAATAAACGCAAGTTTAAATTGAAATGAGTTAAAAAAAAAAACAACCTCTAATCGTACGTTGAGCTTCATGAACTAAGCTTCCCAGAATGTCCCCGTACTGCGTTTTTAGGTGCATATCATTAGCCAAAGATGCATAAAAAATTACACAAAAAATGATATCCGCAAACGGCATAGTTAGTCTTATTGCTATACTATTATTATTATTTTTTTCACTGCTGCGTTGGTATCTAGTGAAATCCAGACTGTTCTACGGAACTTATCGATAGTGTCATATTAATGCAATTTTGGCAGAAGCCTATACGAAAGTTAGCTAATATGTCTGTAGCATCAGCGAGGTTTTTTAGTCACGTTAAAGTACGGTGACTTAAAATATCCTTTTCAATCATTTCATTAATAGAATATCTTTTTTCTTTACAAAATTTCGTTACAGGGTGGTTAAAAACGTTCAAAGATGTTCGAAGGGCAACAAATACTTGTATCTTCTACGAGTAGTTATTCTAATCTAGTTTTATGTTTCTTCAGTACCATTGCTTAATCGTTTTATTATGTGGAATGACGCGTCGTGGCGCCCGCCGAGCGCATATTATAACTTGGTGAATGAGCCTCAGCAACCGGTTCCTGAATGTTTGACAAAACACGGCATAGAACTCGTTTTATTAAATCAAGAACTTGATTCTTTTCGTTAACATCGTATATCCCTGGTAGTCCCTTTAGATAAAAATTGCTATATTCTGATGAAAATATGCCATCAACGGAAACCTTGTAGGTAGCAGTTGTTAAGAACGCTTTCAGAAGCAATAACTAACGGCTAAAGTAAATTTTTTTTAACTAGGTATATGCAAGCCTGTTTAGAACGTTAACCGTAATATCTATCCTGCGAAGAAATATAAGTCCATTACTAAAAAGTATCTAATGCACGCTCACATTTAACTAGTAGTATTGCTTGTCAAGATGATCGCTTGGCTTGAATAAACGTAGCAGTTTTATAGTCTCTCTTCTTGAAAAGCGGCGATAGCTAATTCGAAGCACCGCGCTCTTCGCTGATCATCACTATGTTTAGCCTAAAGGTTAATGCCTCTAGGTATAGCAAAATACTGCATTCTGTAGTACACATTTATTCCGGTAAAAAAAATACTCTGATAATTTTAAAAACTGCCCATGTGAAAGCTCAGAATCATTGTGGTTATACCTTATGGCACTTATACCTTCGATGCAGAATATGCCGCTGTCTGATAGCAGGCATCTCTTAAATTAAACCTTGAAACTAGCTGTCGATTAGTACAATGATTGACAGAACTCGTGGTTCTACAACAACAGTGATTTTAGATTTAGTTAAATCCAAATAAGTCCGGAAAGATCTGTCATGCAAATAAACCAAAGCAAATCATTACATTTTTCTTTTGTGTTCCATTATATTACATACAAATAAATGCAGAAAAAGACGCGCGAATCAGGATTGGAGCATTTATTTACAGGGAGTTCATTAAGTCATTTACAAATGTGCGGTTCCAAGTGGAACACCAAATCCATACTTTCAACAACGAGATATTGGACGTTTCAACATTTAATTTAATACAACAACTTAATTATCCCCTTCAGCCTAAATCTGAGAATTCGTCAAAGATCAGGGTCTGCACTCGATCGAACAACAGCGGTAGATTTTTGGCAAACGTATTTGTATGTACGAGTATTAAAAAAGAACCGTCCGTAAAAACTCTATTCATGTAATCAAAATGAATTACGCATCAAAAGGATTGAGAATATTTTGAGAAGCACGTTTTATGCTCAACACTGGTACCGATGATATCCTACCGTGCGAAGACCTGTGGTTTAGTAAAATTGCCATAATAATTAAACTTATATTGAATGCTACTAATCATTCGCACAGCGAAACTATAGGATATACCTGCTAGTTAAACCATGTACCTTCTTCTAGTGTGAAGAACCAAATATAGTAAGGAAGAAGTTAACCTGTACGATGAGCTATAGATGAAGCTGAGTACGTTTATTGATAATGTATTACTGATAACTCAACAGTTTCAATGAATTTCATTGATGTCCTGTTTAGATCAACGCGCCATTTTCGAAGATTTAGTGCTCGTTTTCACCGAATAAGCGATTTAACAATTTATACTAACGTAGTCCAGCTTCGAGTCTATTCCGTATTAAACGCACCATCAAATAGTTGATATCAGTTGAGCAATATTAGTTCATCACCTCGTCAGTCACTGATGCTGCTTTCCTACTAGTGGTGGTAACCGTGTGTATTTTCGAAATGTTGGCCAATTTTTCACACATAACATCAATCAGTTAACAAAATGCCAACCGGCTCGTTCGTTGAAATGATTGATTATATCACAATATTAATCAAAGTTTACTCGTAAAGCATGGGAATCTTGACTTCTCGTTCTAGTCTGCCGTCAGTTTCTCCTGCATTTGAACAGGCAGCTTCTGCGGGAGTTAAAGCTAGTAGTTTCGTGCTATATTGGTTTACTATTCGTCGTGCCTGTAAGGAGTAGCGATCACTCCAAAAAGTGCTCTAGTTTGTGATCTAATACGGATCTACAAACACATCCTAATGTAGCTGTTTCTGTACAGTTTATAGGTGCTTACGTGTTCCGGTATTGGGGTTCCAGGTGAAATCACACCCCTCTGAGTTGGTGGTCACGTTCAACTCATATGGCGTATCCACTTTTCATAGTCGTACCGCTGTGGCTCGACTAGTCGCTTTCGAAGAAGTTGGCTAGACCAAGCCATAATACTCCCGCACAGCCCACATAAGACTTTCGAGTCGGATAGCACAGAAAATGCTCCCGGAGAGGCTAAAATAGCCAAAAATGTAAGCAAGTTTGGGGTTGATTTCCCCCTTGAAAAGCTGTAAAAACACTTCGGAGGTCATGAAGAGCTGCAAGTCAACAGGATAAGGGCAGACGCCTTGCCCGAAGCAACCAGTTCCATTCTTCAAATCAACAAACCATGGTGCAGGTTCGCCTGTTTTAGAAGCAATACAGTAAATGAAAATACCAACATAATTATTATTGCTAGTGTTTTTATTTCCAGAACCAATAAAAATGGTTCATAATTATTAAGATAGTTTCCCCCTAACTAGTATTTTGCTCGAAACGTTATATAGATCTGAGCATACTCACTGGATCGCAAGATTCTTACAGCACTTTTCTACTTTCGGAAAACCAAGCATCTCAAAATGATCAGAAACACCTATAAGTGAAACGATGTGATGAATACTGCTTAGAATGCACACGCATTTGACGCAATTAAGAGCTCTGTATATTTGTTGCTAACCTTCAATGTTGAACGTGACGACTCCGTTGACTTTGGCGACCATTTCGGGATTAATATAATATCCAACGGTTCGAAAGATGTCGGACACAGTGCATAGTTTAAGAATTTCTAGTGCTCGTTCGCGTGGCGGCGGGGTAGCGGGACGCTCGGGAATTTCATGGATTGTGGTCGTTTTAATCTCGTGCATCGAGGTTTCGGTCTCAACATGAGGAGCCATGGCAATTTGTTGTATCACTGGTGCACTGTCGACTCAAAAAGTCGTCAATTTTTGACAATCACAAAACTTTCTTCAAAGAACTTTCTAATGTTTTTCAAACGTCCATATAGAATTTGGTATCACGTTGTTGATATAGTGTCCTAGATATCGAATCGCAAATTACTAATTGACTAAGCCTAGCTCGATAAGAGCCACCATGGGGGGACAAGCTCCGATGCTTCCGTAACGTCTCGATGCATCAACCGAATAGCTTCGGGTTCGCCGATCCACTGAAACACTAGTCCCGAATTCTGGCGGCGTTAACCGGGAGAGATCGCACATAACCAAGGTCCAATAAACGCACACGCTTCGCGCACATGTGGGAAAGGAGTAACGGCGGTCCGCTTCGTAATCCCACACTATCGTTGCTGCCAGTGCTGTTGTGTCCGTAAAAACGAAGGAGAACTACAGTATTATATGGACCATCCAACTGCACACTTTCCGCTTCTGCTCGTATTACCACTTACTGATGGCAAAGTAGTGGCAGCAACAGTAGCAAAATGCAAGAAAGGAGGATATGCACACTAAACATCTGATATGCAAAAGATCCAGGCAAACAGGCTACTTCATTGTTTAGTATAACGGTATGCTACGGGTAGTCAATGGTCGTCCTCTAGCGATTAATGTAGAATAAATAAAATTCAACGGCGGATGAACGATACGATTGTAAAGGTCGGCTTCCTTCATTATCAGCCCGTTCGACAGCCGTCGCATAGGGACAACAAGGGCGCCAACCAACTTTTTAAGCCTTTCGAATAGCTATAAGTGGGGGGAAGGCGGGGACGTTCACACAAACATACAGAGATACACACATATAAACAAACGCAAATTACCCAACCTCTTCACCTAAAATCAGCGAATAGTGGCGAGAACTGATCATTACGGGGCAGCAGCAACAGCGGCACCAAAACGATACCGAAGTGAAGACCAGGGGATTGAAGGGTTTTCAATTAGCACACGAAGATAAATTCTGTAGGTAAGTTCGGACGCAGGGCGAATCAGTCCCCATAGCTTTGGCCGCTGCGAGACAGAGTCCTTCGACTTAGGCCGTTCTTGCTGTTGTTTCTGCTACATTACCGCGACTACTATAGCAATAAAATCGTCAGTTGACTAATTCGGTTGTGCCGCATGCTGGCCACGATCTTTGGAGCACTTTTTGTCCACGCTCAACTGTAGCATAACTATTTGAAGTTAATCCAATGAAGGTCACACGCTATCCTTGATCACCAGCTACGGCGGTGTAGTTAGCTGCTATCATACACTGAAGCTGAGCCACAATCGAGCATTAGGCTTACCCAGCAGTGTGTAATGACCCTTGACCAGCGATCCTCACCCGAGTTCATCCAAATACGCCTTAAGTGGTGGTTTAACGGCAAACATTTTCACACGGCTTCTGTAGCCAAGCAGACGATACCTAAATCGCAAACGTTACAAACAGTCAGCTTCCCAAACATGCACAAAATCCTTATGCTCATTTTCACATTATTGTTATAGTGGCCGAATAAAACTATGCTGATTGCCATTATTTGTATTTATGTTTTTCTGAAAGAGATTATTGCGCATGCGTACACATAGAGCACCGATCGTTACTATTCGCAAACAGAATATTCAACACAAAGTGGATCTAGCAGCTAATGGTGATCGACATAATTTGAAGTGCAAGAGAATGGCCAAGTTGTAAATTGTAGAACTTCAAACGGAAGGAGGTCGGAGAGTGAAAACTGAACTAATAGTTGATCGATATTGCCCATGTGTGAAAAATTAGTCATCAGCTTCTGATAACTATGGGCAAAATGACTATCGAGCATATTACTCATGTTGTTGGCAACATAAAATAAGAAGCTGTTTGTAGTATCAACCGACTTAAGCCAGTGCAGGTCATCACGATGAATCTACAAGAGATAGTTACACCAGTTTGGGTTCTGGGTTATTTGATTATTTTATTCTACACTTTATACTATCGAACTTTGTGCTGAAGCTGCCATATTGCCCGTGAATAAAAGTTTCCTTTGAGTTTAACTAGCTACTAGTACCGCTACGATTACAAGATGGACTCTAATTAGCAAAACCTTAAATTATAAATCGATGCAACTGGCATCAAGTATGGGTATAAGGACAATATGGGTTACATAGCGATTCTTTAATGTGATGACTTTTCAGTTGTCGCACATAAAATACTATATTCATCGATTTCAGTACCCGGTTCTCTCCATTAAATAAGTTCGTTCCCCGACCACTTTGCTGCCAAGTTGCAGTTGTGAACATCGCTAGTACATTAGCTTTGATCGATAACAAGAGGCGATTCTAACTTCGATTAATGAGACAATACAAGATCGTCTTCTGTTCCAATAAATATTGGATTAGTTTCTACTTTATTGTGCGTGTACGCCATTAAATGGAACAAATAGCTAGAGTAAAACTCTAGGCTTTTGTCCATATTTTTCCGAATGTCGTTTCTTATGTGTGGGGAAGCTTTCCTCACATATCAAAACCTACATGCTTGTTGCATTATTATGTGCAACAAAGTTTCACATATTTAGGAACGTGAAAGGTTGTTAAGTCTCGAAATATTTTGAATTCAAAAAAAGACAACATTCGCTTGTAAACTTCACTATTAATTAGCCCGGATTCATATTGCATATCGAATGATTATGTGCCGCAGTACCCTACTGTTGCTTTTTACTTGAAAATACCCCTAGTCTTTTTAATGCGTAAATTTTTTGGGTATATTTCGGGATCGACTAATGGGTTTTGGACCATCGTTTTTTCTTAACTCCAGCATGGTATCCACTGAACGCATGCCTTCCTTTGTGTCTGATCGTTTGTGACTATTTGTTTCAGTTGCCTACTCCTACTTCCTGCTCCTTGCCACGCACAGAGCTCCCTGCGCGCATTCGTTCCGTTTCCGGGCTATATTTTATCCATCTACGTACTGCAGTTGACGAAAGCCAAACATAAGCAAGCGGCAACGGTCACTGCTATAAACAGCTGGAACAAAAATCAAATCGATTAATTCCGCTATGTTTCTTATAATAAACGATGTTTGGACCAGTTAGTTCAGCCGAGATACCACGTGCATTACAATCTGATTGCGCCATTTCATCATTTACAAATCATTTAAACACAAAAACTTTCTGACGACTGGTACACCTTGCCTCATTGGGCCAGGTAGAGTTGAAGCGCAGTAAAGGCCACAATACGAATTAGCGTAGATGATCCCAAAAGCGCAAGTGCGAATCAGAGCGTGTCCCCGGTATAACAAAAACTAGTATCGTTGCATCTAATAGACACTTGCCCCTCGGGTCATATGCGAATGGAAACTCAATCTGGTAAGACAAGAAATGTATTCATCTTAGCCTATAATTAACCGTGGTCTTTTGGCGAATCTTTATAAATAAATGTATTCGTCATGCATTTGTCAGCTCATTTGTTGTCAGACTTTCTACTACACGGCATCAGCTAAATGGTAACCTTTACCGACTGTGAAATTCTGAAAAGCGAACGGATAATCGTTTGTGCATCGGAGCGCCGTCATTACTTATAGTTAGTTAGTTAGAAAATGCCCAGTTCGAATTCGAGTAATAAAATTCGGTTTTATTTATCTCGTCCCAAGTGTATCGATGTGATACCACTCGATCTCTCACAATATTACTTGAACAACTATATTGATTGCGGTACGGTCTAATTATCCTTGCAAAACTTCCTTTTTTTTTTTTTTGTTGTTTATAGGATGTTTGGCACTCTACCTTAGCGGCTAGGCCTAAAATGGCTTCATGTTTCAAGGTTGCCTTATGAAATTTAACATCTCTTTTCTTATAGCGAAGCGTCAATAAATGAGGGGTAAGGTATATATCCCATGACCATGAATACGGAAACATGCATGCATCATTATTTTAATCACTACCTATTCGAATTGTTTTGTGGGTTTTTTGATTTTTTTTTTGTGAGCGGCTGAATGAAGCATGGAAACATTTTTACTCGTTTTTAACTTTTTCTCAACCAAATTGTATATTCCACTGGCCTATGAGGGAACAAAACAGGTGTGCAAGAAAAGCCGCCTAATAAAGTTTAAAAACTTTGCCAACAGTTCACAGATCACAAGTAATATATATATATATATATATAGATAAGATAAATGTATAGTGAGTCAATAATAAGGTGCACGAGCAGACAAAGGAAACGACATGAATTTGTAAAGGTTGACACCAGTTGACTGATTATGTTGAATGTACCTTACTCCTTTGTTTTTTTGGTAACAGTGACACCAAATTTGGTCATCCGGCTGACTAAAAAAACGCTTAATGTAATGCTAGTACTGCCTTAAATTGAAATTATAATCCTTTCGTGAATCACCAAAAGCAATAAAATGACTTGCTTATCAATTAAGTTGCGCGAGCGTAAATTTTTTTAGCGATCAACAAAAAGCAGCATCAGAAATAATAGGTTCTGGAAATAAGTGTCAATAGAAAAATTTGGACGACTGAAAAAAGGAGCAAAGACTGGTATACTAAACAGTACAACGTCGTTCTGAAAAAAATGCTGCTTGTATTTTTTAAACGAGGAAGTTTTTTTCTGTACACCCAAAAGCAGACAGCCCCCAAATATGTGGAATGTTACTTGTGGGCGTAGCCCATACGTCTGCGGTATATAATGCTTATTCAGTGTCATATCCCATACGGTAAAATGACTAACGTTAACGGATTATTTTCGTTAGCTGAACGAGGATTTGTTAGACTCCGCGTAGATTTAACGGATAGATGTTAGAATGACGATTAAATCGCATATGGGGCTAACTGACTATTTTTTTTTCGGTCTAAAAGCAGCTTCTTTAATGGTAATTAATCATTAAAAACTCATAATGTTCTTGGTTCGCGCCACTTCCATATCCACTCGCGAAAGCCTCCCTCGAATGTAGCAGACGACAGTCGTTGTGTTTACCCGAGAGGGCTTACCGAACAATCACTTTTTCCATTACAGAAAGCCCGGTTAGGCATTATAATTGAGCTCCCGGTCTAGTTGAAGTGTGCACATCGAGATTGTTGATTTGTTTGAATTTATTGCTATTATTGTTACAGTATAAAGCACTAAAAAATAAGAATTAGGTATCAGCGAACCGTGTACCAGGGTGCAGTAGGTTGAGTCTAAATTTGATATTAGCACCAGCTAATGCCGGTTATGTGATGTTGACTTGTGTGTCGGAATCACGCTGTGTGTGATCCGACCACTGCCCGGATAAAAAAACTAACTTCACACGTGGACATTAGGCATAAATGCGAATCTGGTAAACCGGCAAGATGGTACGAAGTTATGATGAGGAACTGAAGTTTTTGGAGAAAGTTGGTCCTGTATGCTGGAAAATTAAGAAAGGCTTCGTCAACAACATGAAAGTCGAAGGACTGTTCTATGTAAACGGTCATCTCGAAAAGCTAATGTTTGAAGAGCTACGCAACTCCTGCAGAGGTAAGATTTTGTTTTAATTTTTGGAGGTACTGTTATTGCACACTTGTCTTTGAGTCTGAAAAGTTGAACCCGCTCAGAATACAACAAATGAGAAGTAGGTCTGCGTCTCTTAACGTATCCAGTCTTATAAGCACTATTTTCTTTTCAAAGATGAAGTTAGCATAGTCTCTATGACTGATCAGCTCTCGTGATAATGCAGGTAACATTTTAAGATATAATTATACAAAACTATATTGCAAAACTGGTGCTTACAGTAAAATTGAACCTTATAATAAACGCCGCTTCCTTCCGATATGCGTACTCTTTTCAGTGTGTTAATCTATAAAACAAAATTTTATCAGCTTTTTAACCTCCTAATGTCTTTAATTGGATTGCCTGCAATCGTGAAGCATCTTACTTACGCTTTATACTTATAGCTACCGCTTAGCGAAAGATAGTAAAAATAATAATTAATATTATAGAAGTTAACTTTTGGTTACACACGCTTTACAGCTCAATCATTAAGGTAATAATATTAATCACACAAACAACGGTATCAGTAATACAAATTGGAAAATGAGTTATTCAGCAAAAATGCCTATAACAAACATTCTTCATAATTCATTGAAAGTGTACTGTGCTTCGATTTCCAGTACCGTTTAGGATGGAAATCCATGCTGTGTTTTTTATCATTAGATCACTTATAATAATATTGCTGCATATGATATATTGACCGATGCGATTAGGTGGTAACATACTGCGGAATGCACTGACAAACTGGCGTGTCAACTCTTCTGGTGGCTATGGAAAAACCTAATGCTTACCCAGAAATTTACTACTTTATACCTGGTATCTTACATTATATAGTTTATGTATTATTCTATAGTAATTGGTTAATCCGCCAATGCACAGTAAAGTTTAAGTACGACAGATGTAATTCTGTGAAACTTTAAAGTTTCTTGAAGTTTCTTTGAAAGCAATATTAAATATTGACTTTTAACCTACGAATACACGGTATGTCATATGTACAGTTATGAAATAACAAAAATACCAAAGATTTTACAGAATTGTTTACAGGGTGCTGTCGATTGATCGCCGTTCTTATAGTTCCTTGGTAATTTTCATGTTCCTTATCCTATACTATTACTCAGAACCTTGTACACAAATCTATTCTAATTAGAGTATTTTAAAAATAGCCCCCAGTATAATTGATCCATGTTAGAGTAACGCAGAAGACACCATACGTCTACTGCTGCGGGACACAAATGTCTGTTGCTTTTGGCTGACATGCAGCGCACATAGTTTGATGTATGGCCTCTGAAAAGAGTCAGATAGGTACCAGCTGCTAGGAGCTAGACGCGTTCATTGGTAAACATAGCGTCTGAGCACCAGCTGTTCATGTGGCTTGCGCGCAGCTAATGTAAGAAACGATGTTGCAACGCACCCAGAGGATATCCTAAGCATAATGATCTTGTTATGCCTGATCCTTGCCAACAACAGTCTTGTATGTACTTGCTGTAGCAATACTCTCAACATCCAGCGTTGAATTACCGTAGGGACAAGGGAAGGTAACGAGAATCGAGGCACTTGAGTATTTTATTAGCAAAAAAACAAGCTAAATACAATTATAAATAGCAACAACAGTTCCAATTACTATGATGACGATAAAGAACTCTCCGATAACAACAACAAGAGGTATATAAATGCTTTTGAAATGATATGAACAAATACAAACATGCTCATACACAATACTCATTGATTGTGGCGGTTGTTGATGTCGTGATTACAGCACTGTAAATAATTTATGAACGGATCAAATAAAGAATAAAGTAGCGTGTAAATGGAAAAAAACGACATTTCCTCTGGTAAATTCAGGTTGAAATAAAACAAGTAGGGACTGAAGCCAGCTATCATAGCATGTATCTTGACGGAAACATCCGATCTCTGTCCTAGAAAAAATTGGGCCATGGGTAGGTTTTCAGCTTAATGGAATACAGCGTTACACGAACAACAAAGTAGAACGTTACAACCACGTAAATTTTTGTACACTCATAATTGCAAATGATGGGCAGGAAAATGAGTCTGATGTTTGAAAATGGGAATATGTTGAACTGGTAAAATACAAAATTGTAAACCCCTGTTGCAAAAGCCGTTTCAAATAATAATTTATGAATCCATATTTAGTACTAGAAACACATCACAAAATAAAGGATATTACGTACCGTCAGACGATAGAGTGGTAGAAGTAGTAGGAACAGAAATTCTAGACTGGGTTGAGTGAAAATAGTTTCTATAACATAAAATACTGTTTTATTTTGCTTATAGTCTGCCCCCATTTAAGCAAACTGTCACGTTGTCGTAAGTATTTTTATCGTTATTGTTACAAATCAAGAAATAGTCACTAAACAACGAGATTTGGTTCGCATTTTCAGCTTTTATTTGTTCAAATATAAATTTAACACAACTGTTTTACGAAGTTGGTAGGCCATTAAGTTTTTTAGTTTAGTAAGACTCTGCGTTAAGTATAGCTGGTTTCCATCCATATTTTTGTTAACCTCCATAGAAATGTAACAACACACATGTACCACATGCAACACAAATGTTTTTTTCTGATTCTTTGTCTTATTATAGTTAAAAAGGCCGTCTAAAAAGATACTGGCTGGAATCCATCAGCGGGCATATACATACAGCACCTCTTAATAAATAGAGTTGCTTAAAATATTTTGAAAAAAACTAAACATTGCAGGTAAATAGCTCCTCATTCTGGAGAAAAAGGTTCTCCTAGTGATTGTAGAAACCGAGTGGCCACTCAAAATAAATGTTAGTAGGTCGAATCACAACAAAACCTGTTATTGTCCTTCGTAAAGTAGCCCTCTGTGCACTATGTGGATTGTGCCTCGTATCACTGATTAATTTCTCGCGAGGAATGTTTATCAGTAATTTTCTAGAAGAAAAAGAGTTCTGCTTTGTCGAGCTCGGTGCCTAATTCAAGCAAATCAAATTACCACAACCGCTTTCTAATATATTAGATACAATGAATGTCACAGTTATTGCTCACTGTCACAGTTAGTGTTACGATTAATGGGTTTTTTCTACAGGGGCCATTAGCGTATTAGGGATCGATAATTTGTGGTTTAAATCTCTTGATTGCGGTGCAACTAGTGTTATCTGTAAGACTGATGAATCTTTCTTAGAGAAGAATAGTTGATAGAAAAATCGCCCGTGATCATTGTTAACATTAACAAATCATAAATGGTATCTCTATAAACATCCGCGACGTCCTAAGTCGATAGCTATTTTTTAATCATCTGGACGTGCTTAATAGACGTGAGAGATAGAAGCTAAAATGAAATCTGCGCAACTTTTTTAACAGTGTAGTTAATGTAAACGCTAATATAACCTTTTATCAGTAACAACCTTTTCAATGCATTTACATCTTCAGGAAACATTGGCGGGTTTTTACCTGGAGTTAAACAGATCGCAAATGTTGCAGCTCTTCCCGGTATTGTTGGACACTCAATCGGTCTTCCAGATATTCACTCCGGATATGGCTTCGCCATAGGTGAGAGAATAGTATCATAATGGTGATTATAAATAAATTAGGTGAAGTACTGTTCTCAATATAATCTCACCCTGTGTGTTCTAGGGTAAAATAACGTCCGAAATCACTAGAAATTGTTTATTTTAGGCAATATGGCTGCATTTGACATGGACAACCCTTTGTCAATTGTTTCTCCTGGAGGTGTAGGGTTTGACATTAACTGTGGCGTTCGTCTGATCCGAACCAATCTCATGGAGAAAGATGTTATACCAGTCAAGGTAAAAGCTAACATTTTCTATTGCTAATGATCTCTGTTTAATCGAGAGTCTAGTGAATCTCGCCTTCCATGTATAGAATAGTTTACGCTGTCCTAATAACCCTGCTTGCGTTTTACAGGATCAACTAACCCAGTCCTTGTTTGACCACATCCCGGTCGGTGTAGGAAGTAAAGGAATAATTCCAATGAACGCAAAAGATCTTGAAGAGGCACTTGAAATGGGCATGGACTGGTCACTAAGGTAGGACTCCTATGTCACATGTAGATATCAAATTAGGTTACCAAAAACTTGGTTAGCTATTTTTAAACACAGCAGATTTGCTCTACTTCCCTAGATCACTCGGAAGTTCGTTGGTTCATTTTCACAACCGAACTTAATACTTATAGATTTAGCAAAATTTGATAACGAAAAATTTGACAAAACAAAATATAATCTCGCTATAAAATTTAAGTGAAGAACAACTAATCTGCTATATATGTTAGTAAATGCATTCCCTATCATAAGAGATTTCGAAGATTCCTTACCAAGCTAGTTGATACTTACTCTTAGCAACTGATAGAAATTGTGTCCTGGCAATTATGTTTTAGGGAGGGTTATGCATGGGCCGAGGATAAAGAACACTGCGAAGAATATGGAAGGATGCTAAATGCTGATCCAGCCAAGGTAAAAAAATCGCTTTCGATATGAGTTAACCTCAGTTTAAGCCGCTAAAATATTTGCTGGCTAGAAAAAAAACGTTGGTGGACATCAGCACACAATAATAGTAGTTACTGATTCAACGCATCCTCCTTACTTGTCATTTTAACTTGAATGTGTTATCCTGGTTTATATTGCATTACATTTATCTTCGATGATACCTTCAAAACCGGTAGCCACTGTACTTAAGAAAACAATGCTTACAGGCATTTAATTTTCAAAGGCAAATTAATTTAAAAATTTTTAAACATGAAAACGACGCGAACACTATTAAAATAGTATCTCATGCGTTTTCTTTATTGTCATGAATTTTTGTCTTTCTGGTTAGGTATCAACAAAAGCAAAGAAACGCGGTTTGCCCCAATTGGGCACTCTGGGTGCTGGAAATCACTACGCAGAAATCCAAGTAGTTGATGAAATTTTTGATGCAAAAGCCGCTTCAAAGATGGGAGTTGAAAAAATGGGACAGGTGGGTGCTTTGTAAACAACAATAATTACCCTAATTTCACGCTACAATATAAGTATTTAACGTTTTCTTCTATTACATTTTTCCTGCACTCGGTAATAGATCGAGTGTCCCTGTTCATGGCTTATTAAAATTAGGTAATGATCCAACCTAAAATTACTTACACACTTTACGCGGTAAATACTTGTTGTTTTCGATCTAACCTAAGGCGAACCACTTAACCTTTTGGTTTTTAAGGTGTGTGTAATGATACATTCTGGGTCTCGCGGATTTGGTCACCAAGTAGCAACCGATGCGCTGCTAGAGATGGAGAAAGCAATGAAAAGAGACAAAATTGAAGTCAACGACAGACAGCTCGGATGCGCCCGTATTCAATCGGAAGAGGGTACGATGGATGATGCTATTATCTTTACTTACAGCCTATTACGATAGGAATATTCTAGTTATTACTCATTTGTAGAAATTAATTCAGCGTTCGGTTTATATCCATAACGTTAAATTGTTTAAAAAGTCACTACTTGAATGTTTCGAGGTTCACCTTTAGTACTGTCGTTGAGTGTCTGGCTACCTACACAAACTATGTCTACGCCTAATCTGGAATCTGGACTATAACGTGTCTTCAAGTATTTTAGGCAAACATTACGACACACACACCTCACACCGTGAGGGGAATCCTACTTGAATTTTAGTTAAAATTAAGCCTATTTTTGTGGTCAGGCAACATGTTTCTGTTTATATAATATTGATTAAAGCAAATTATTTTAAACAGACAGGCAGTTCTTTGATTCCGATTGATCTCCTAGGCCAGAATTACCTAGCTGCAATGGCTGCTGCGGCCAACTTCGCTTGGGTTAACCGGAGCAGTATGACATTCCTTACGCGACAGGCCTTTGGGAAGATGTTTAACACGACCCCGGATGATCTTGACATGCATGTTATTTATGACGTATCACATAACATTGCTAAGGTACGGTCATAATATTAAAGTTGGTTTCGAATTTTTAAGTTTATTTTGTAACTGCGCTCTATGCAACACACAACCCAAATAATGCAGTTAAGTTCGGGCAGTGTTTTCATCATGAGTGAACTTTAGTTGTAACTTTCAAACGGCGCTTTAGCCTTTCTTTGTGTCGGAAGTATGCGTATTCCCTAGCAGATATTGCGGAATAAACAGATCTGTAATCAGTTTCTGAATAATCAACTATAAATAACGATGTTTATCACTGTAGCTATCAGCTAATTTATCACTATAGTTTATCAGCTAGTTTACCACTAGTTTATCACTATAGTTTATCAACTAGTTTATCAATATAGATATCATTTTCGCGTGACAATTATCGGTGCACCTATGACACCCTATAGCTTGCGTATTATGGTTTGCTCTAACTTGTCAGTATATAATAGGTCGAGGAACATATGGTCAACGGCAAATTGCGCACTCTTCTTGTTCATCGGAAGGGATCGACTCGAGCATTTCCACCCCACCATCCACTTATTCCAGTCGACTATCAATTAAGTGGTCAGCCAGTTCTCATTGGCGGCACAATGGGTACATGTAGCTACGTGCTAACAGGTAAGTCCCCCTCAGTTCTTTAATTCGTTGCTACATGAAACCAGTATATGTATAATAATACATATTATCATTATAGCCAAGGAATACGTTGAGCTAAACATAAGTTCAATCCTAACGAAGGAGTGTAGCAAAACAAGACGTAATGTTCTTTAAATTACCAAAATCTGTCGCATTGTTGGTTAATTTAGTTGTGTTGTTTTTATGTTTTTATCGATAATCTTTGAATGATTTTCAGGAACTGCTGAAGGAATGGAAAGAACTTTCGGGACGACGTGTCACGGAGCAGGTCGTGCACTATCGCGAGCGAAGTCTCGCCGTAATCTCGATTACCATGATGTACTAAAAATGCTCGCAAACAAGGGTATTACCATCAGGTACTGTATGACCAGTTCATTAACGCTCTGGCGAGGCTCATCAGTATTCTCTACTAAGTATCATCAGTATATCTGATTTTGTTGACGTGACTATTCGTTCGTGTAACTTACTTTCATATGGTTATTGAGGTACGGCTTGACTGTTGACTTATGCTTATAACGTAGGCAACACAAGGCCAATATGCCATAGAATCTAGCCCATCCCATTCAGTATGCTAGTCATCAAAATATAAGCAATCAGTCTTATTAGTTTTATTATTGTATTAGTTAATGCATAGACAATTACGGATAGTTCTAACGGTATGTTAGGTAAATTATCTAAAATGTGTAAATTTTCACTTTACATTGTAGAGTGGCGTCGCCCAAGTTGGTGATGGAAGAGGCTCCAGAGAGCTACAAGAATGTGACAGACGTGGTGAATACTTGTCATGAAGCCGGTATCTCTTCAAAATGCATGAAACTCCGTCCCATCGCAGTTATTAAGGGATAAACCATCACCGTTTTGTAAAAACGGTCATCATAGAGTAACGTATTTTACAAATACGTTACTCTATGATAATATTAAATATTTAAGCAAGAGGTATGCATTGTAAAGGTTAGCAGCGCATACCTCCAACATATATATATATATAGAAAAATCCTTAGATGGATATATCATGCCTGTGCTTCTCGTATATATATATATGAGAATCATGCATCAGGCATGATATATATCTCTGAAGCGGCATATGTTAATTATAGTACCGTAAGAAAATTCACATAAATGTTGGAGGTATGCGCTGTTGACCTGTACAATATATATATATATATATATTACATGCATAGCTTTGTATGTAATAGAATTTCAAATGCGTTAGATTTTTTAAACATAATATGGAACAGAGGGGGCGTTGTCAAGTTGTAAAGACAAATTATTCATTTACCCTCAATAATGGAGGGTGCAACTACACATTCCGACTTGACAACAATTATACTGACCAGCCAGTTTTGGAATGAACGAATCAACGCGCTGAAAGTGAACATGTAAACCGGAATATATATATACATATACATGGAACAAATCAGTTATAATTGATTTGTTTCACGCCGATTTACTCCTCATTCGTCAGATGCTGTTTAGGTTGAATTATCTAAATACCTGAGAACGACCACTCTGTTTCCTGCCATGTTTAAAAAATTGACATCATTTGAAATTTTTTTCGCCGTTAATGATTACATACAAGGCTGTACATGTACTAAAATACACATTCTATATATATATATATATATATATGTGTGTGTATTTATATGAATATATATGCCTAAATAGACATTATTTAATAGTAGTCCATTTATATAATATAAAACTGTGAGTACCATGAATTAAAAAAAAAAGATGTAGGCGTTCTAGAAACATCACAAAAGGATATCACGTCTAAATATTTTCTAGATAAGGCTGCTACCTTGCGCTTGATTTAAGCTTTGTTTAGCATAAGGAACTCTCAAAAAGGCTGATCAAATATTATTAAACTTATTAAAAAAATAAACTGTATAAGCAATATTAATAATTGCAAATTATTTAACAAAGTAATAATGTAACAAATTTTAAAATTTGACTTGCGTATGCAAAAAACGATTACTAGGACCGGTTTATTATTATTGCTTTGACCACTGTAATAGCGAAAATTCCTAAAAAAACGCCTAACTGTAATATACCCATTATCCTAAATCCTGCAGCAATTCTTGAACCATTGATAAGGAAAATGATAGAATGAAAAGGACATTCATAGATTTTTGTACGACGTAAATTCAAAGGTCTACATATTGCCGTTGCTGAGATCTACCCCCGATCGAGACTCTCAGTACGTTGTTCGAGAACAATAATTTGCAAAGGTATTGAATGATATGTCTATTTAGTCTGCCACTCATGGACACCACTGGCACAATAATGCATGCTACGCTCCTTTGTCTGGAATTTATTGACTGAATGCATAGGATTAGATATGAGTTTGTAGCGTGCACATGAACACCTTTTATGATGAATAGATGCGCTCCTCATGTTGTGCTAGATTTGGCCGGAGCTCGTTCAGCATGTGGTATCTGGAGTGGTTTCGTTATTTCTGTCTTGCTCTCGAACAAAAAGGCTTCCGGCCGAAGATGCAGATAGAGGCGGTAAGGATGAGGTAGGAGAGCCCTTTAATGAAAACATGTGGAAATACAATGATAGTAGGTGTGCAGCTTGTAATACTCCAGGAAGTTGAAATTTGTGAAACAAAAATGTGTACATAATACATTAATCTAGTCAAAACGAGCTAAATAAAAGAAAATTGCATTTTCTTTCGACATGATACACAGGAAAATCGGTTACTGGTTCTTCCAGTACAGGAGAAAATTTAAAATAGCTACACAACGAGGGTAAAGCAACTTACAACATTTGTAGCAGAGCTGAGAAGTCTTGGCAGGAGTCCTCCTGTGGTCTCGTGAATATCCTACAGGAAAGGACAGAGCATATACGCGATACACGTCACATTCGTCACGTTCTTATCCAATATGACGCCACCTTCGCCTATGTGTACCTTCTTATCACTTTTCCTAAACAATCATGTTTTACAACCGGGATCACCCTCTAAGAAATATATTGTTTGTCAGAAAAAAATGCTGTACATCTGTACCCTCGTTGTTGAATTTCAGTTACTAACCAGGGAGCTGCACGACTTTCTCTGGGCGGGCCGGGAGGAAATTTGTCTTGTAGGTCAGATTAACATCGATTCAAGTCTAAAGTCAATGGTTGCAAAATAGGTTAGATTTGAGAATAATACCTGAATAAAATATTGTTTATAGGAAATATGGAAGTTAAAGTCAGGTTGACACACTTCCTGTGATTGTAGAGAACCTGGTATGTACCAATGAAGTACATATGTTTTGCTAAAAAGAAAGGGAGTCTGTTGAGCTGATTTTAACGAAACGTCCTGTAAGCAGTAAACAATAATACCGCGTGGTATTTAAAATTAGATAGAACGGTAGATTGGTTATCATCTTTATTGCATCTCTGGTTCTTATAAGTCGATTTTGAGAGTTCGGCTACAGCATCGGCGCATGAATGAGTATTTGCTGAGCTATCTTATTTCCGCAATTATAAACAACTACTCTTCTTGATTTTCCTATTGACGTTCGTATGCTGTATTTGTCTATTAAGATCATTCAACCTTGGAGCATAAACAAAAGCGCTACTGTCAACATAAGCCCATTAAGGAAAGTCACATTATCAGCAGAAAGTCGAAAAACATCCAGAATCTCACAATGCCTAACAACACTTAAAATTTGCTCGGTTATATGGACTCGGACCGCTGCGCGTTGATTTAAATTAGGGTCGCATTGAGCATAAGAGCATTCATAGCATCATAACATTACATCAAACAAACTAATAACATAGGAAGAGCATCAGCAAACGTATTTCCGTGCAAAAGACAACACAACGAGATACTAGCTAAGCATAAAACGTATCTTTATTCAAGTCGTTATTTCTAGGTGACAACGTACATGAAAAGACGCTTTTAAATATAATAATTTTCAATTGTTTGTAAGGCACATCACATTCGTGCTAGAGGCATCCACCGCATCCAACGGTGAAGGTATTCGGAAATTTGCATACCTCAAAAAACTGTTAATAAACGGTTTTCTATTATAATCATTCTTGATTACAATTTGATTATAAATACGCTTTAAAAATGGTATAGACTACTAATCCCTGTGCATATATAT